GAGGGAGTAGCCACAGCCTGGAGAATGTTAACCCCAAAGTAGAAATAAGGAGAAGAGAGCCATAGCCTGGGTGCCCCCCTCCACTGGTTTAGCTGTGATATATTCCCATAGTGCCCCATTGGCTTCCAGGCGCCCCAGGCTTCTGGCCACAGTGACACAGAGACTAACATGGCTGTCACATAGCTGTATGTGAACCCTGCCTGGCCACATCCCACTGTGTGGCCTCAGGAAAGCAATGTGGCCTCTTCTGGCCTCTGTTCCTTTGCCTATAGAAGAGGGAGGGTGGTTTGCTGGTAGAAGCTTTGTCCTTACAGCAACAATCTGGCCACATCTCTCATTTTTGGACCAGGGATATAGTAAGTGCTTAGCGAACCCCAGTCATTGTCTTTCGTTCCTCCCTCCCTCCCTCCCTCCTTCCCTCCTTCCTTTGACAGGCTGATCTTAACTCACACTCACAGAGTAGCTAAGGACGACTATGATCTGATCCTCATGCCTCTACCTTCAGAGTGATGGGATTACAGGTGTGTGCTACCATGTCCACTTCATGTGGTCTTGGGGATCAAGCTTAGAGCTTCATGCATTTTAGGCAAACCCTGTACCACCTGATCTATAGCTGCAGCCTCCGCTCCTCTGGTGATTGTCTCTTGAGTATCAGCTACAAGGCAAGAGTGATGAGAAGCATCTCCCGAGGACATGGGCTGTGTCATATAAACATACCTTCATTCTCACAGTCACCACAGCCTTGAGGTCTGATGGAGTCAAGGGACACGAGCAAGCATCTGGTTTATGTTTTAGGTATATAGAAACACCTCCTGTGATTGGCTAATACAACACAGAAAGGGCTTCCCTGGACTCATGAACAGTTCACAGAAATGCACTGCTTCTGCAGCCGTGTTTGAGGGAGTACAAGATTGCCCACGTGTCACTATACAGATTCCGTCCTGGCTTTATAGGTCTCCCCAGTCACACCTGTCCTGTCCTCACCACCATGACCTTAGTCTAACCACTCAGGGCCTGAGGAACAGAAGGGAATCAGAGACTGACTGTTTCCTACCTAATGAGCCCCCACCTCGCTCCAGGGTATACTCAACTCTTCTGGCCTTGGTTTATGGAGCACTGCTCAGGAATGAGGCTCAGGCAATACTGTCCTTTTGGTGTAACACAAGGGAGTCTCCAAGTAGAGCTGTGTCTGGGTGAGTTGTGGAGGCCAATAGAACGATTAAAGGAGCTGCAGCCAGGCAGAGCTGGTGTGGATCCTAGTATGCAGTGGTGAGATTGTATACAGCCTTCATCTCTTCACTTTCTTTCCCCCAGAGGGGATGGTCAAAGGAGGGAGGGACAGGGCTTCACAGTAGGCCCTAGGAAGCCTCGGCCACCCTGCCTCCCACCCCTGCTCTGTGGTCTCTCTGCTCCTGGACTGAGCTGCTGCCCAGCCTCTGAGTAGTCAGCCAAGCTGGAGTCTGCACACTGCATTTGCAACCATCCTGCCCCATGACCCACACCCCCACACAGTACTGGGGGATGCTTTTTGTTGTGGTTGCAGCCATAATGGGATTTTCAGGATTGCCATTATGGAGTCCTCAGAGAGGTGACTGAGTTACACTTTTTGAAAAATAAGAGGAAAAACAGAAGTTAAAGAGAATGAATAAATGTGTGAATTCAAACCCACCACACTTAGAATGTCTATTCAAGGAAAATGATTACTAATTATTAAAATTTGGAAAACTACCATCAGGAAGAAAGGAAATGAACATGGCCCCCTATGAGCAGCACCAACAGATGCTTCTGTGATTTAATGGTTTCCCGGAACAATGCGAAGCTATTTTAAAAGCAGACGAATGACTCATGGTACCCAGCGCCCGAGGTCCTCTGTGGTGGCAGGAAGCTTGAGTTGGAGGAGGAAGCCTAGGTTCTACTCCCATCTCCATCATTTACCAGCTGTGTGACCTTAAGCCAATTTCACATCCTCTCTGAGCTTCCTTTTCCTCCCTTGCCCAGTGGGAATTTGGAAGGATAAATAAGAAAATGAGTATGTGCCTGGTGTGATGGCACATGCCTTTAGTCCCAGCACTCAGGAGACTGAGGCAGGCTGATCCCGAGGTCAAGGCCAAGGCCAACCTGGTCTACAGACAGAGTTCCAGGACAGCCAGGGCTACACAGAGAAACCCTCTCTCTAAAAAAGAAACAAAACAAAAACAAGAAAAAAAAAAAAAGAAGAAGAAGAAAAGGAAATGGACACGTGACGCTTAGCACAGTGATTGTCCATCCACACAAAACTCAGATGTGAAGCACCAGACTGAGTCTGTGTTTGTAACAACACTTAGGTTGTTAAATATAAACGCTTAAGGCTAGAAGTTTTCCTCCGATGGACACTTGGCCAGAACCATACTTTTGAAATACAGTGTTCTCATTGCTGTTTTTTCAAACATATCACTTTACAACACAACCATATACTAACATATGAAAATATGTACAGTACATGTAAAATATAACTATGTAGTATTATATTTGTTATTTGTAATATTTGACATTGCTCAGGATTTGGAGTACAACATTTTGATACAGTTACCTTGAATATTGTAAAGCTAACATCATTTTCTGATTATGAAGATTCCTTTAGGATTTGCTACGTTTAAAGTCATTAAGTGTAGGAATCATACATTTTTTTCAGAGACTTATTTTTGTTCTTTTAAATTATACGCATGTGTGTACATGTTGGGGCATTTTTATGTATGTGCGGGCACCCACAGAAACCATAGGCGTCGAATCCCCCTGGACCCGGAGTTACAGGCCGCTGCGACCTGCCTATCATAGGTGCTGGGAACCAAACTTGGGTCCTCTGCAAGATCAGTGCACACTCTATCCATCTCCCCAGTCCCAGAAATCTTGCAAGTAAGGGAAGAAACTTGAAATCCTGGGCTGTGGGCATGGTGGAAGTCAGATACCTGCCTGAAAGGGACTGACTCAAGTGCAAAGCTTTGGGCATCATTGCTTTTCATACAAGTGCTGTTTTGTTAAAACTATGCAGACAGATTTTTTTTTTTAAACTTTAGATCTATTTTTAGCCTAGAAGTTTCTTATGTTAGATTTTTTTTCCTATACTTCCAGTGGTTGGCTGGAGTTCTTTTTTCTGCAATTTACTTCTAGCTGGAGCACAGTAAAGTCAAAGAATGCAGGTTGACATGATGCTGAGTTTTTGGAACTAACCAGCCTTTTCTGACAGCCATGTAAACCAGTGGTTGTGTTCTGTGAGTATCTAAAAAGAACTGTATTTTTAGTTACGGAGAAACAAGCTCACAGAGACTATGGCTCAGTGAGTGAAGTGCTGCTTGGGTAAAGCCTGAGGACCTGAATCTGGAACCTGAGCACCTATGTGCACAGCAACAAAACCCAACCAAACCTGGTGTGTCAGCATGCTGTTTGTGTAACTCCACCTGGAGTCTAGCAAACACAGCGAGACATGTCTCGAATTGTAAGGTGGAGAGAGAGAGAGAGAGAGAGAGAGAGAGAGAGAGAGAGAGAGAGAGAGAGAGAGAGAGAGAGAGAGAAAGCATGAGTCAGGCATATGTGTTTCACCGTGGCACTCATGTTGAGATCAGAGGTCAACCTTTGTGGGTTGTTTCTTGCCTCTTCTTGTTTGAGGAGGTCTCTTCCTATTGGGTAAGCCAGGCTTGCAGACTAGTGCTTCTGAAGATCCTCCTGTCTCCATCTCTCATCTCTCAGGAGGGGCACACTGTGATCATAGACACTTGTGAGACCCCCCAACGAATGCTTGCACAGCAAATACTCCTACCCACTGAGAGAAGCTTGTTTCTCACATACCCTTCCTCCAGGATGCTCTGTCTGCACAGACTGGGCACAATGAAGCCAACTTCCTGAAGCCTGAATTGAGAACTTGAGGAGTCCTTTGTGACCTTAACAGGCCTGCAGCAGAGCGATGGTCCACAGGAGGCAGGAAGTCAGATTAGTTCAGCACAGCTCAGTAGCTGGTGTTGGCTCAAACTGGGAGAGTCTGATCCCAAGAGTTTATTTTAAACTTTTTTTTTTTTTTTTTTTTTTTTTTGGTGTTTTGAAACATGGTTTCTCTATGTAGCCCTGGTTTTGTTTCATGCATAGAAATTTGGAGTCATGGAATCTTCTCCATCAAGTTTGTTTTCATCCCCATCCGTCGGTTTCTCTTTGCCATGATCATTTTTTCTGTCTCTTGCTCTGCTTTGTATCACTGCTCTTGCCCAGTCCCTCAGGTATAGTGGGCATAGTATTGGCATTGCTCCTGGGGGACTCCTGGAAGGACACACCATCCACTCTTCTCTCATGTCTCTAGATAGTCAGCTGAGATCTGTGGAGAGGCTCAGCCCACAGAACCAGCCCCCTGCTTTCTTCCTTCCTGCCCAGGTGGGTTGTCTTGGGGCACCCCAGCTCATCACTGGCCTGTTGGAGTCTTATTCTTACATCACATCTGATTTCTTGTTAAACATCTCAGAAGACATCTCTGTCTACCATTGGTTTTTTGTTCTTCTTCTTCTTCTTCTTTTTTAATACAGAGAAGTATCTTGTTCTTAACTCCTTTTGTCCCTCCATTAATTCAAAATTGTATGTATGTGTGCAGGTGTCGGGGTAGTGGGGGCTAGTTAGACTAATATGTAAGTAAGTAAAAGCCACCAAAGCTGTTCTCCTGGGTATGGCAGCTTAGACAGTTATTAAACTTTGTCATTGAAGACTAGGCGTAGCCACCTGTTATTTTCCATTTGAATTATGGTACAAAACCTTGTTGATGACTATGCAAATTAGACATGCTAGAGTGTGCCACCATCCATTTCAGTGGTTGCTCATATTTTTGATGTATAGTTGAGCATGAAAGATGATTTAGAATTAGAATTCAAATCCAAATAGTATGTTCATTTTCCACAAGTTGCTCTTTATAACTTCTTGCAGAGGGGACTATTTAACTGTAGGGTTCCTGATGCACCCCACCATAATCCTGTCTTCTTTAATCCTAGGAATCTACCTTCTAGACTTGATCTACATTGATTCTGCATACCCTGCCTCTGGCAGCATCATGGAAAACGAACAAAGATCCAACCAGATGAACAACATCCTCCGGATCATTGCCGATTTGCAAGTTTCCTGCAGCTACGGTTAGTACCTAACCACTAGAATTGTGAAACCTTATATTTTGAAATCTGGATCCAGCACTTTGGCCACAGAAATCTCTAGGAGTCAGGTTAGCCCCTCAGAGATCCCTGTGATACTAACTTGAGCTTTAGACATGGGCTAGTCCTTTTATGCAGCTCCAAAGACTCTGAAAACTAGATGTCATTATCACTTTGTTACACATGAGGAGCACACATTTTGGCCACTAAGATTACACATTCAGTGAGTGCATGTCTCTGGTCTTGCTGGCTCTGGGTCATTTATCCATAAAAAGCCTGGTGGGAAGCTCCCAGATAACTCTGCTTCAAGTGGATTTGGGTCCATGTTCCTCCCATCTGTGGGGCTCTGCGCTGGGGTGGCAGAGGCAAGAAAGAAGCTGAGAAGGGTAGTTTGTTGGCCAGACTTGCAAAGGGAGGCCAGGCTGTGGGCCTGAATGGAATGGGGCAACTCTCTAGGCTCCAGATGTAAAGGGTGGTAGGCATGATGCAAGGTGCCTGGAATACACAGGGCTTACTGCAGACTTCCATACCTGAGAAGTCAGAACGCTGAATGGGTCATCCACCAGGACACTGATTTCATACAAGGCTATGAACTTGGTGTGGAGCCTAAATGTGAGTCGTGTGCCCTAGCCCTTTGTGAGAAGAACAGTGGCGCAGGCAGGGAGTCAGCAGGATAGGAATGGAGAATAATGGAGAACAGAGCTGTAAACTGGCTTCTCTGCTGCCAGTTTCACAACAGGATAAAGAAATAAAAGCCTGGGCACACTAGGGAGCAAGTCTCAGGCTACATCCTGAAAAGTCACTACCTCCTCAACGTGGTTTGCTCATGCGTGCAAAATAGGGCCACACACAGTTCCTGGCCCTCAGCATGTGCTAGAATTTTCCAGAACCCAGATTTTTTTCACTGTGCTCTAGACTCATGCCAACTGCCATCAGCTTGGAGATCAGGTGTCATTGTCCTCATTTAAGAGATGGTGACACCACTGAGGACTTAGAGAAACAGAAATGTCCTTCAGAGCATCAGACTCTGGAACCTAAAGATCACAGGCCCCTGCTGCTCTTCGAGACTCTCTCCTTTCATGTCTGCCCCACTTCTCAGAAGTACAGTGACAGTGAATGTCTGAGGAGAATGACAGACGTGACACAGTATGGCACAGGCCTCGAAGGCTGGGGTAGGACCTGGCCTTAATACCTCTAGGTGACCTTTGCATATTGCTGCCATCCGTCCTTTGTATGGTGGGGATAGCCTTTTTCCTACATAAGACAAGAGTGAAGGCTAGAACAGTTGTCTGCTGTCTGTCACCCAGTTCAGAGCCCACCATCTGGGTTGGACTTTTGCACTGGCTGGAATGGTCTTGCATTCATGGCACACAGAAGGAGGCTGTATACTACCATCACTGGAAATGTGCTAGATAGAGACACAGACACAGACAAGGCCAGGGCCCCAGCTTGCCCCAGCCTTAGCTTCTCTCCCTCAGCCAAATGCTCAAGGTCACTTTCCATAAGGCAGAATCCAAACCTGACCACCCTCCAGGGCCTGTCCCCAAGGACAGTGAACCAGCCTAAAGTGTCTGTGTCAGAATTCCCTGGGCTGGGAAGAGTCCGGCCTGAGCTTTGTCCCCGCTTGCGCAGATCACCTCACTACCCTGCCGCATGTGCAGAAGTACCTGAAGTCTGTACGCTACATTGAAGAGCTCCAGAAGTTCGTGGAAGATGACAACTACAAGTAAGTTACCGTTCTCCAGCTGCTCTCCTTAGCGCCCAGGTGGCCTGGGAAACACCTGTGGACCCCACAGCCATGTGTGGGGCAGGGCTGGCACTTTGACTCTGATAGGCACCCTTGGCGCTGGGTAGAAGGTCAGCTGGGCATATTCTCAGGCCAGTGCTCTTTAAGGTCCTGTTTTTCAGGTGGATGAAACGGTCTGTCTCTGGGTCTCTTCGCTCTGTAGGACTCTCCATCTGGTTCTAGCTAAGGGCCCCAGGTACAATCTCTGTGCCTCTGTGAACACATGCATTTCTCAGAAAGGCCCAAAGGCCCTTCAACTCACCTTGCACATGCCCTGCTCTGGTTTGTGGTTCTTCCTTCATCGGTGGCACCTGGGTGTGTATGCCTTGCTCAGTGTCTGGAGGAGGTCAACTCTTAGCTGCCCATCTTTGCTAGACATACTCTCTGCACAGTGCTTTCTCATATAACCTGGTATCAAGGCAAGTCTCCGCCTCTTATGATTGCTCATTCTCCACTGAGTGTTACCCTCACAGGATCTCTTAGACATCCCATCTCACTGGCTGCTACTGTATACCGTTTCCCTGACCCTTGCTATCTAGTACCATTTAATCCCCGGCAGCTTTGTCTGAAAGCCTGCTCTTGCATCATCTTGGTCTGTGAAAACAATGCAGAACCATAGCCACCAGTCACTTGACAGATAGTGGGAACAGTTGTTCAGGTGTCCCCCACCTGGGTCCGTGAAAACAATCCGGAACCATGGTGACCAGTGCACCTAGCCATTGCAGCAGCAGTGGCTCAAAGGTCTGGCTAGGAATCCAGCTCACCGGGGTGGGGCCTGGAGACTGGCCCTCTCTCAGCACCCCACTTGAGGCTCTAATCATCTTTGGGAACATAGACATTCTGTCTTCACTGTTGCTGTACCATCATTCATCAAGATGAAGAATGGTACAAGTGTGATCGAGCGCACAGCAACGGGAGTCCCTCACGGAAGAGAGCCAGAGGTCACCGCTAAAATGGCATCTATCACAAACAGAGTTCATTTTATTTACAAAGCATTTGCTGTTTCTGAAGAGTGGCCTGGAGTGCAAAATTATTCCCACTTAAGTTCTAGTATAATGTTTTCCATTCATGTACCAGTCTTGCCATTAAAGAGACAGTAGTTTTTCATTAACACTAGTACGCTTTAAGGAGAAAAATGGCCTATAAATACTTGTGAACATGAGACAACCCTTGGACAAGCTGCAGATTGTGAGTAATTACTCCTCCATTCTGAAGAAGTGGAGCACTGTCCCCACTCCCACCCCCGCCCCCACCTTCTGCGCTAAACAACAGTCAGCCTGGGCCCCATAAAGGCTCTTTGTTGGGCCAAACTGGGCAAGCCCAGGGAGGAGGGCTGCCTTCCGGCCCAGGCCCCCAACCGTAGAGGGTCCTCTTTCTAAGAAGGTCCTGTTTCTGAAGAGCTGGAGTCGAACAGGGGCTGTGACTCTGCCCGGAAAACTGAGCTGTGGCCAGCTCACACCTCACCAAGGTGGCTCCTCACTGCCAGGGACACAAGACCTTGGGACATTGGCGACCTTACACTTCTAATACCTTGTCATCCTCTGCCTTGAGATAGATACTCCACCAAGAGACCCAACCAGGGTTTTCTCTTTCTCAGCTGTTAGTCTGTTATCAATTTAAGAAAAATGACCCAAGTTCTCACCACTTAGGAAGCATGGCCACTACATGAAGTAAGCAGGGTTTTGAATGCTTGGCTATGCATGGAAACATTATTTACACAAAGAAAGGGTGGGTAGATGGATGGATGCAAGGGCAGAATTTACCCAGATTGGATCATATTTTGCTTGCTATTTGTAATTTAAAATCTTAAATATCTTTTAATTCAACCAAATAAAAGGGAAACTAAAATAGAAGGTAAGGAATGGTCATTCCTTAAATTAATGTTTATTTACTGCAGGAGAGACGACTAAGGGTTAAGAGTCTTGCTTACTCCTCTAGCAGGGGATCTGGCTTCACTTCCCTGCACCCACTTCAGGCAGCTCACAACTGCCTTTAACTCCAGCTCCAGAGGATCCGACATCCTCTCCTGGCCTCCACAGACACCTGCACACACACATGCACATTTCCACATAGAGACCCACACATACACATAACTGAAATTTAGAATAAAAATAAATTTCTTAATCATCTTTTATAAGATTCGTAAAATGAGCCAAGAAAACCACGAGGAGGCTGAGTCAGGGCATTTCCTGTGACGTGGTCGTTACTGTGACTGTCCACTGTCTCAGGTTATAGAGAGGAAACTTCTGGCCCTTCCCCAACCTGGGCTTCACCATCCTGCAGGATTTTGTTAGCTGTGCTGTGTTTGGACCCTACACTCCAAGTGCATACCATGAAAACCACCCTCAGGAATCATAATTCCTACTGTTCTGTGTTTTTAATGGGATTCATTTCTTACCACCTATTACTCTTCATCCCTTGAGCCTTTATTTTAAATCAGTCCCTTACTTAGCAGGGTTCCTCAGGAGCCGGGGCCTCCCTTCCCTTGGAGGGCTGGTTGTTCTGAGCTTGGCCTCCTGACACTGGGTGCTGCTGCTGAAAGTCTCAGACCTGCCTAGATTGGTTTTTATTTCCTTCCCCTCTTGCTTTGCCTGGTGGATGAAGAAGTCCATGAAATTTAGAAGCCCAGCAACAGAAATCCTCAGAGATGAGGTCTCTCCCTGACCTCCAGACCTCTCAGCATGCCTTTCCAACTGCAGGCCAGCCCCGCTGGCTATGGCTTCACCTGCTTCCACGTCTGCTCTTGGCTTCTACCTGCCAGGGCTCCTGTGTTGGATGCCCTCTGCCCTCTTCCTCCTTGAGCTGCTTTCCAGCAGCTGTGATGGGCTCCTCAGCCACCAGCAGTCCCCAAACAATCTGTTTTCAGTGAGGTGTGCAGCCAGTCCTGTCTGGTTTCCATCTTTGTTTCATTACCTTGATGTTCAGGCTTGGTTGAACTCAGCTTCTCTGCTCAGGGGCTACCCCCTAAGCTGACCTGGGGGTCACTCTCTCCTTACCTTTCCCTTCTGTGAGACAAGGTCTGTGATGTTGCTGGACCACTGTCTTGCCACCATTTGAGAGACTGTTGCCTGGATGCTTCTCAGAAAAATGTCTGGCCCTCCTTCTGTGTATGCAGAGGGGCTGGGTCCTCTCCCACTGCCTAGGAGCTCCAGGACCATCAGACTTTTCGTTTAACCCCCAAGAAGGCAAGAGGTTCCCTTCATCTCCCAGAGCCATCCATGCCACAAAGGGATATCCTCAGGTTGCCAGTCCATCATAATATCCCTGCCTGCCATGCACTAGTGTTACAAGTTTGACTGCAGAAGCTGCGCAGCCTCTTTCTCCTCACTTTCCCAGGCTTTCAATGTGCTTCCCTCACAGAGTTGTGGGTAAGCAAACAGGGGCCAATCGTTCATTTCACCCTGTCCTCCTTAACCGTCACTTCCTGGATCCAGAATCCCTGGGAGAGGTGTTGGAAGGGAGAGTTGTGACCTGAAGCAGATCTCACAGGATCCCTGTATTCTGTGTCCCGTGTACCCCTTCCCCCATCCCATGATAGACCAGGGCCCCTCTTACCTTGTGAAAATCTTTGTTTCAGGCTGTCACTCAGAATCGAACCAGGAAGCAGCTCTCCAAGACTAGTCTCTTCTAAGGAAGACCTTGCAGGTATCGTAGCTACCTCAAATGTTCAAAACCATGTACACCCCAGACCTGGCTACCAAAATAGGCCCTGTGTGGAGCTCAAGAACACTGTTGCGCTCATTGCCTGGTAGGCTCAACTGTCCCTGCCTCTAGCTCCCTCTTCCAACCTGCCAGAACCCTGATAGTGTGGGACCCAAGAGATCAGACCCTCAAGTTAGAAGCATGCACAGAGTTCAGAACTCTGTGTTCTCTCCTAGACCACCCAGACCCTTGTCCTCCAGCCTGCCCTCAGGCTTGGAAATATGTGCCCTTGGGGGTACCCAAGATGCACCAGACACAGTAGATTTACCACCTCTGAGAGAAACACACACTGTATCACCAGCAGTGGGATCCTAGGATCTGCTGCCAGATCTAGGCTCTAGCTTTGTCTCTCTATCTTTCTCCTCCATGGCGTTATCTATGGAATGGAGTGGAGGTTGATATTGCCCTTGTAGGACTGCCATGATGCACAGGCCTGTCCCATGCTCTGCCCACACCTGTCCCCTGTCAGAGTGTGCTTGTGTCAGCTGTCTTGTCTCTGTCATAACAGTGGCCCTTCAGTCATCAGGTAGCCAGCTCTTAGAGATGGGGACTGATCAGTACTGCTGCTTGAGGAGGGGCTACAGAGGCCTCCCGCAGCAGGTCTTCCTGGTTGCAGCTCCCCACCACCCCTCCCTCACCCAGCCTGGGTTCTGAGCCACCGCACCTTAGCCAAACAGCTTTATCTCTCTGGGTAGTGTTTTCCCTGTGTGTAAAATGGAAATAATGAAACTGCCATCCCAACAAGGTGACACTGAGATGCTGCTCAGGTGTCCAGCATTGTCTGCAGTGAGCATCAGGAAGAGGGTGGGAGTCATGCCACCCCCTCCTTGGGCCTCTCCATACTCCCACCTGGTATGTGATTTGGTAGGACTAGACCCACAGCACTCAGGAAAAGGTATGGCAGCTTCCTTCCAGGCCCACCCTGCAGAACCTCTGTCCTGCCTGTGGGATAAGCTCCTGGCTCCCTGTCTGTGCCAGCCTCTGCTGTCTCTGGGTGTAAGCTAGACTCATCCTCGCACCTGTAGGCTCCCTTGCTCATGGGCCTTGGAAGGTGCTGCTGTGTGGCTCTTGGGAGTGTAGGAGCTGTAGAGTTAGTGCTGTCTACAGTGTATTTTTCATGGCATCTCCCAGGACCTTGTATTAAGTGCTTCCTGCTGTCTCCTCAAAAACCTACTGTCTTTCCTTGGCAGATGGCCCTTGGCAAGGGTGGTCCTAGGTGTTTCTCCTTTCCGGTCTTTCCCCTGTTCTAGAACTCTCCTCAAGCAAACTGCTCTGCACTGTCCACTCCGACTGTAAACTGGGTGCGGTATTCATGTCACTCACAGGACCACTCCTGAAACATATGCAGAGTCTGGCCCAGCTCCCATCAGGGGCCACTTTGCCGTGATACTGTGCTTGTCAGCACGATTCCATCACTGAACTAGCCTCCACACGTTAGCTAAATGACCCTGCCTAAGACGCCAGTCATGGTGGTGGGGGCGCGCAGAAAGCTCTGAACCCCAGGCTGACCCACCCTGTTTCTGTATAGTATGACATGGCTACACTTGCCTGGCTTCTCACGGGGCTTTGTAGGTCCTACATCATACCCTGTGTACTCATCTGCCCTCTGCCTGTCTTCTCCAACAGAGTAAAAAGCCATCTGAGAGACAGGCCTGGTGTGGAATTCCTAGGGCCTGGCATTCAGAACCCTGGGTGGATCAGCTGCCTCCCATTCAGCCCTAGCCCTAGAGTTCCTTGTTGGGCCCTAGGGGCACCTGTCCTGGAGGACAATGCCAGCGTGGGCTGGCCGCTGACTCTGCATACCCTTCCAGAGACGTGCTGAGACTAAGCAGTTCCTGCTCTGCAGGGGGAGCTCAGCTCACTGGACTGTTTTCCACCAACTTTCCAAATCCCTGGCTTCAGCCCCAAAGCAGGATGTCCGGGGTTATGTTGATCACCCAAGCGCCTGTGGCTTTCTAGAAAGCACATCATCTTTCAGTGGCTCAGGTTTCCTGCCCACCCCCCCCAAAGCCTCAGAGGGAAGATAAGGATTGCTTCTGCAGCCTGGGTCATCCCAGGGGTCCCTAGATAGCAAGGGCCAGCTCCTAGGAAGCCTTCTGGGCTCTGGCAATTAGGCTGAGCTGCGTGGCAGAATCTCCACAGGACTCAGGGACAGGAATGTGCCTTTTGCCATCCCAAGAATGGAAGGAACGGGAAGAACGTGTCCGTCCCCCCCCCCACCCCCCCCCCCCCCACCCCCGCTCCTCAGGAGGGGCCAGACTCCAGCTCAGATCTGTGCCCAGCAGTTAGACATCCTACACTCGCCAAAGGAGAAGCCTTTAGGTTTGCACCTTCATTTACACAAGGCTCTAAGGCTGCAGGCCTGTGTGACAAGCACTTGCTGTGAACCAGTTACCTGGCAGGGGCCCCAACCTCCTGGAGCTCATGTCTTAGTTGGGGAGACAGGCAAGGACAGACATGTTTAAAGCCCCAAAGAAGCCAATGTGAGCAGAGCAAGATGGTGTGTATGTGAGGGGCTATCTCTATGACCCTTTTCTAACCAGCTCCTGCCAGGGACTGGGAGACCTTGACCCTGCACAGCTAGCAGCAGCCTCTGAGCTACAACTGTTCCCCTGGCCTCCGATAGCTCCAGAACCCTGCCAAGGGCTGCCACCGCTTTCCTCTGGGGCAGTGGCCATGTGGTCAGTCTGTCCCCACAAGGAAACTGCAAGCAAGGAAATGGAAGAAACTGACACAGTTTCTGATCTATGCAGAAAAAAGACCAGGGATGCCACATTTCCATTTTCCCTTGCCATGTGATGTTGTTTATATAAATGAACTAATACTTTCCTGGAGAGAAAAGAAATCACATGTAATGTTCATAATGTTGCCCACCCCCTTTCCCAGAAGGGCAAGTGATGTTTGTGTGTATCCTGGAGCTTTCTCGGAGCTGACCCTTGCCCCCTAGGGATCCCTGGGATGACCCAGGCTGTGCAAGATTCCCTGACACGGCTTCCCCTGGGCACAGGTTTTTTCCTGAAGATTCCGGAGCCATGCTTGAGTCCAGGAAAATCCTGGCCCTGGCCTCTGTCTCTGCTCTCTCAAACTAAGGCTACATACCTTTCCTCTCCATGTTTACTATCTGGTGGCAAGAGCCCTGCTGCCAGGCCAACATACCTATACAGAGCCTGGCTGCAGCATCTCTGAGCTGTGGGAGCAGGAAGACATCAGGCCAGCTCACATCCCAGGGCTGTGGAGGGAGTTCCCTGAGGCTGTGCCAGAAGGTCTGCTACTGGCACAGTGCCTCTTGGTAACGTTGGCTTCTGGCTCTTCCAGGCAGACTCTGATTCCTGAGACAGTGTGAGGCTGCCACTGGAGCACCAAATAGGGAACCCAAGGACACAACATCTAGTCCCAGCGCCACTTCATAACGTAGGGTAGAAAATAGCACTTATTATCACACCTACATTGTGTGTCAGAGCATCAGGGTAGACAGGGCTGGGATTGGAGGCACGTAGAGGGATGGTTACTCACATTCCTGGTGCCTGCTCCTGGCTGGATCTGGAGGTCAGCAGCATAGCAGGGCTTCCCCGGAGTATAGCAGGCTCAGGGTCATCAGACTTCTGCTTGGCATCTGACTATCCCCAGAGCAGAAATGGGGAGGGCAGCTAGAAAACTGTGAAGTGGCATCTCCATGAGCCAGTCTCCAAAGCCAGGCAGCCTCTCCTCAGCCTTCCTTTGAGCGTCACAGAGACGGTTCAAGTCCAAGCAGAGAGGCCAGGTCCTGTCATTCACTGGAGCAACCAGGGACTGTGTGGAGCACCCTAGACAGTTCACACGAAGGAACCCTCTGCTTGTCTTCTTCACCACCAGGTACTGACCTGGGCTGAGCACCTTCCCGAGCCTACCCCACAATGCTCACTGAGTGTACCCAGCCTCTGCCTGGGAACAGCCCCTGTCTGGGAACAGCCCCTGGGCCTCCTAGCAGACAGCTGGGCCTGTGTCATTCTTATCCCACTCCCATTCTGTAGGCAAAGATGCCAGGGTACACACCCAGGCCCACACATCTCAGAAGTGGCAGAGCCAGCGTTGGGGGTCAGGACAGGTCTGTCATCTATGTCCAACACATGGAGCATGAAGGGTACAATGAGGGCTCTGTCCCTCTCATCCTGTGCACTTGTTCAGGGGATTAAGTACCTGCCTTGGATGATAGACCTGCATATCTCTACCTTATACATTTTTTTTTAAAGAGACATGAATATCATTATCCCAGAATGGCCTCATACTCAATATGTAGCCCAGGATGGCCTTGAATGTTCGATCCTTCTTCTCCTCTGCCTCCTGAGTTCTGGGACTGCAGAAATGTGTTACCACACCCGGTTCCTTACAGATGCATTAAGTCATTCAGGGTGACAGATGCATTAGGTTTGTAGGAATCAGGACCCCAAACTTTATCTTGTGTTCAGTCCCCTTGCCTCATCCAGCTGGGCTGCTTCAGGCCTGGCTGGCTGTAGCAAGAGTGAAACAGTGTGCCCTTCTCTCTCACCTAACAGTTCTCCAGATCCCTCGACTTGCTAACCACAGCCCCATTTGTATCAGTGCTGCTGCTGTCGTGGGGCACAGTACCCTGCAAGGGACAGTTTTAAAGCTGCTGTTTCTCCAGGGCACTTCCACGATGTCCGTGTGTCCTCAGCCTTGGCACATAGAAATACACTCCTGCACTCTGAAGCCCCATCAGAGTCATCGTTCCATCTGCAGCTTCTTTCTGAGATCCTCTCATGCCCTCATGCTGTGTGTGGTCTCCTCACTAGAACCATTCATCCACACAAGGCCAGGGTAGCCCTCACCCTAACACGGGTGAGGGTGCAGCTTACCATCCCGTGACCACCACTGTGCTCTGCTTGTGGTCACCTTCATATCCTCAGGGCTCAGCATGATGCTCTCAGTCCCCTGGGCCCCAGTGTGGGAGACATCTGTGGAGTACCTTTGAAAGGCCTGAGTAAAAGAGAGCCAGGGTGAGAGGCGGGGCTTCTCTCTTTAATGCCTTTCCTCTGCAAACCTTTGCTATGCTCAGGGTAGGTGGAATCCTCAGAGAGAGCTCAAGGGCTAGAAGCAGGTGTCGAAGACTCAAGTCTCTTCTGCCCGCTCCATGAGTCTGCAGTGGCCCAAACACCTTGATTGCCACAGCTTCCAAGCATCCTTGGCTCTCACTCTGTGGCCTATGAGTCTTCACCTTCTGTCTGCAAGAAGACAGTGCCACTTCAGCCCAGAGATGATGAAGACTGTTTCTCAGAAGGAAATGAACTGGACCCTCTGCACGGAGACAGATCTTGGCTCTCAGTGAGACCCATGAGAGCTGTGTGTGTGTGAAAAGCAGAATGTGTGTGAACATAGAAATGAGTGGCTCCCAGGCCCCACCAGAGACCTGGCTATAGAAAAGTTTCCACACAAAGACTGCAGTGCTCTGGCAGACCCAGAAGGGCTGAGTCCTGGATCTCAAAGTAAGGCTCTCCACATAAACAGGTGGGAAACAAGGGACTCCGAATCCTTCCGTTGGGTGACAGTCTGTCTGCCCTGGCCCCGGAGGCTCAGAGTTGTACTGGACAGAGCTCCAGATGGCACAGCCATGGTATTTGGGAGGAGATGGCATGGGTCCCTGCCCAGCTGGGGCTAGAGGTGGGACTGGAACCCAAGTCTTTTGACTTCAAGTTGCTACTTTCCTCTCTGCTACAGCTGCCTTCCATTACTTCCCAATGTGTGAGACTTGGAAAGCCCAACTAGAATGGGACAATGCTGGCCCAGAGCAGGGCCTGTCCAGAAACCCTGGAGAAGACCTTCCTTTGCCCACAGTGTACGCTCCTCGTAGCTGTGCCCATGCCTTCAGGCGTAGGCCCCACACCGGACTTAATCATTTTTATTCCCCTAGATCTGTGCCCCAAGTGCACTCTGCTCCATATGGAGGGTTACTCTCAGTTCCCTTCCCTTCCCTGTGTGCCCCATTCCTGGGAGACTTCCTATATATATATAGCTCTCTCCCTCAAAACCTGCAGCTCCTGGGCTTGGCCACATCTAGTTACTCTCCAGCCAGGGGAACTTTCTAAGATCTGAGTCTGAGCATATCACCAGACCTCACCTTATGAAGTGAAGACTCTGCTGGGGCCCTGCCATCTTTTCCCTCTGAGCCTCTGTGCATGCTGTTCCTTCTGCCCTTGTGCTAGGCTCTTGTACCAGGTAGGGTGTCAAACCTTCCAGAAGTCTTCTCTGATCCCTCTCTTATGTTCTCCAAAAACTTGTGCTATTGTGAGGCTTAAATAAGGTCAAGTGGACAAAGTGTGTATCATTAGTTGTGGCCACAAGTAGGCTAAGTTGGGGTTGGAGCTGACCACAGCCCCTCTTTGATGCTGCCATGTAGTTGGTGCAGTTGGTGCTCTCACCCTACTGATCATGACTACCCTGCTTTCAGAGCTGCTGCTCTGCTGGGTGCAGCCACCTGGCGGCCCTTCTTTCCCCTCCTGCAAGCAGGGGCATCATGATTTTTCTGATCTATGATGTTGGTGCCCAGGGGCGGCTCAAGGTCTGGGCTTCCTAAACATTTGTGGCAGAAAAAGAGACACTGTTTAACTCTTGACAGGGAGGCAACAAAGGACAGGCTTCTCATCTCTTGTTTGCAGATGTACATCCAGGACTCAGAGGGACAAGGTGACCTCCCCAAGGCCACTCAACTTGTAAGCACAGATAGAGATGAGAGCCCAGACCTCTCTGCCTCCAAGACCAGAGTCCCTTTCTGTCACCATACATCATCAGGGATTCTGCCTACTCCAAGACTGTTATTAGAAGCCTGAGTGTTTTGTTTTGTTTTTCCTCTTTCAATCAATGAGTGGTCTGTTGGGAAGCATGTTGGTTTCTTGTAATGAAAACCAGATTTTTTTTTTTTTTCAACATATCTGGTTGCCTACAGAAACTGTCAATTCTCATATGGTCCAATAAAACTGTTAAAGAAACAGCCACTTAAAGAGTTTTAAAGATTATTCATGGAAAACTTATGCTGAGGAAAAATAGAGCAATCCTTTGAGATAGTCAAGCCACATGGTCAGTTTTTCCAACTGTCCATGCCATATCAGGCCGGGCAGCGGGGCCTGCACTCTGCTATGGTGACCAGAGTCCCCGCTCATCACCACCCCTACCCTGCCTGAGGACACGACCGACAAGCTTGCCAGCCACCCAGCTCAGAAGGCACATGTCCTGGCACTGTCACATGGGAGCCACCCCAGGCCTGGAGGAGCAGGAACATGAGGCCTTTTGGTAGCAGAGGGTGTCACTTACTGACAGAAAGGCCCCTCATCTGGGTCTCAGCCGAATGGAAATTCTTCTGCTTCAGAGTCAGACCTAGGCTGTTGGTCAACAATGCTGGGAGAATGTGGGGGAGGAGGCGGATGAGACCTAGAGCCCAGAGAGCAGCAGCAGCCCTGACACAGGCCAAGAGGCCAGGGCTCTTCCGCTGGGGCCCCCGCCTACCCTCCCCAGCTGGTCCAGGGGCATCTGAGGCCAGGCATGCTCCCTGAGGCTCTAAAGCAGAAAGGAAAGGGGCAAATCCAGGCCTAGCATTGGAGAGAGAATCCAAAGTTGAGTGAAAGCAGCCAAAGGCACTCTGAAAGGCATGTGAGAAGTCAGAGCAGCAAGCAAGGGCTACGAGAAGCTGAGTGAGAGTGGCTTGAGGCATGGCCCCAGAGCACAATGCCAGGGTTGCAATGGCCCGTTCTAGTTATCATCTCGTCATTTCTGCTCTAACACCAGGGCCTCTGGGGTCCCCCTTCAACCCTTCTGCAGGAGTTCTTGGGGTTCACGTAGTGGAGCTATCATTTGTCATCCTCCATGGCTGCTGATAAACAAGAGCTCTGCCCTCTGGAATCTTCTCTTAGGGCAAAAGCAAAACAAAGCAAGCAGCACACTACTCTCTTCCTCCCGGGAGCGGCAGCAAGAGCTGTTTCCTCAAGGGTAGCGGCATCCTGTGTCCCAGAATGTGGACTAGAAGGGCTCTGCAGGGCCACCAGAGAGCCTGGGCATTGATGCCCAGATCCCCTGTGACCATACAGTCACAGCCTCCAAGGACAGCCCAGTCTTTGGGGCAGATGTGTTACATCCTGCAATAGAGAGCAGCCAGTATCAGTGTGCAAGTCCTGACCAGGGTCACGCGTATGGATGGACAGAGGTGTAGGTGCAGTTTCAGTTGGCCCGACTCAAGACCTTTCTTGCCCCTCCTGTATCCCTCTGGGCTTGTGAAGTCCAGGTAGGACCTTTGCTTTAAGGACATTACATGCCGCTGGTTCTATTCTCATGGATGGGTGGGTCATTGGCTGACTGCCCAGCAGATCTGCTCAGTTACTCGATCTGGGCACCTCAGGCCTTTCCTCTGGGAGTTAGTGAACCTGGGAAGGAAGGGTTAGCATCCGATAAGTGGGAGGCTGCTTTTGGCTTTGTGTGAACCTTGTCCTACCCATGACAGCTGGGGAAAGGTCCATAGCCCCAGACCTAGAGCCTGGTCCCTCTGAGTCTCTACCCTACTCTCGCCCCAATTCCTGCCATCACTCTCCTTCTGCTCTTTCCATAGGCCCCTCTGCTGGCTCCAGCTCAGCCAGGTTCCGCCGGAGGCCCACCTGTCCTGATGCATCTGTGGCTGGCAGCCTCCCCACGCCACCAGTCCCAAGGCACAGGAAGAGCCACAGCCTGGGCAACAAGTGGGTGACTGAGCAACCCTCTTCTGGGCTGAAGGAGTGCTGGGTCCTTCCCCATCCCCGTTTGGGAACTCTTGTTCCCGGCAGACACACTCTCCTAAGGCTGCTGTGAGCTTGGGGATGCGGAGGAGCAACTGACAACACAGTCTCTGTGCCACCACCAGGGATCCAGGCTCAGTAGCTAGTAAAGAAATGTGCCCAGACTCAGTTGACAGCTCATTTAGGGAGAACTGAGTCCAGCAGACAACAGTGGTTATCCTCAGGGCACAGAGTGCCTGCTGGCTCACTGGCCCTGCAGGGCCCACAGCTGAGGGACATGTAGATCCTCAGCATGATCGGGGATAGCCAGGCCTGTATCCCCTGGGCATTGGTCACAGGTTTCCAAACAGAGGGGCAGCCTTCCTTCATCACCTTTCCTGCCTCCCTGCTTCCTTTCCTTCCTCCCTCCCTTCCTTCCTAGCACTAAGGCACAAATGTAATGCTTCTTGGTTGTCCTTAGTGGACCTCAGAGGCAGGAGCAGGAAGACAAAGTTGCTTTGGGTCCCTGGTGCCTCCTCTTCTCTAGACATCACCCACCACACACCTGTAGACACCATCTCACTGAACCATGTGAATCTCTGGGCAGGTGCTGCCATGTACATTGTGGCTCCAGGAAGAGTCACAAAGCTCTGACACTCCTCAGGATGGCCCGCCTGCCCGTCACTTTGACCTCATCTCACAACCCTCACCATCATCCTGGGAGACAGGCAGGGCAAACAGCATTAGTCTCCATTGACCGATGAAGAAGTTGAGGCTCAGAAAAAGGATGTGACTTGCCCAAGGTCACACCATGAGAAAGGGCAGAGCCCGGGCCACTAGCAGGCTCTGGGCAGAGGCATCTCCAACAGCTAGCCCTGGCTCCAGCCCCCGGGGCCGTGTGCCACTCTGCTCCCAGGATAAGGAGCTTTGCCTTCTCTCTTCCTCTCCGTTCCAGTATGATGTGTCAGTTGAGTGTAGTTGAAAGTAAGAGTGCAACATTCCCATCGGAGAAGGCCAGGCACCTGCTGGACGACAGCGTCCTAGAGTCCCGCAGCCCCCGCAGGGGCCCCTCCCTCACCTCCTCCACCGCCGTCACCAACGGACTCTCCCTAGGTAAGCGCCTGTGCACACAGGCAGGGGCAGCAGGCCCAGTGTGTACTCTTTGTCTGTCTCTGTGTCACTGTGCTGTGCCCAGTGGCCCCTCCCCTTGAAGAATGGCTTCCCTACAGGAATCTTTTGCTGCAGGGAGGAATTCCAGGTTGGCCTTCTCCTTCTGGTAGTCTCCAAATGGACAGTCAGGTTGAAGAAGGAAGCTGGACTTAAGTCCTCCTCAACCCGAGGCCAGCTGCTACCTCGGTGGCATTTACGTCCCAGGGGGGAGCCTAAGGCCCTACTTGGAGCAGTAGGTGGCAGGCAACTGCTTCAGACTGAATGCTTGCTTGCCTTTACCCTGAGGAGCCAGAAGGGAGGATCAAGATGTGAGCCTCGGGGATGGCAGTACACTACTGGAGAGTGGCAGGAAGGAGCTTGTGTCCATGGAGTTACAGAAACAGGGCTGCTGATGCCAGCAAGGAGATGTCAGTATTAGGACTGGGGGCTGCATTCAGAGATCTGTTCCCTTATACAGCTCAGGGCACCTAGGACAAGTGACACTATCCTGTGATTGCTGTCATCTGCCCAGCGTGCCTGTGTGCGTATCTGCTTCCAACAACAGAGAGTCCCCCCCACCCCAGGGCTGATGGTGGGCTGACATTTGCCTAGCTGCATTTGCTCTAGTAAAGACAGCGGGGCAGAGGGCCAGGGGCTTGGAGAGGCAAGCAACGAGAACAGGTGGGTGTCTCATGCCACATGTCCCTGTGAAGTAGGTTAGTCTTGAGAGTCACGGATAATTTCAGTCAAGGGCAGCTGCCTCCTAGAAGTTTGTGACAAGTTCCATATCTGGCTTCTGGCTTCCGAGGAGGTCATCCCGTTTGGGCGGTGTAGGAAGTGTGGACAGTGTATCTTAGGCTCATAGGTGTGGCTTCAAAGAAGCAGTCCAGGCTCCCGAGCTGGGGAAAAGTAATCAGACTTCTTCCCTGAGCCTTCACTGTGCTCTCGGGCACTGATCTCTCCAGCCTGCTGGGTCCCACTCATGGGCTTCATCTCAGAGTAAATAACGGGACCTGGGTTCTTCTGAGGGCCCATGAATGCATGGCTGAACCCAAGCAGCTGTTTGACATCCGGGAGACTGTGAGCTGTGCCTCAGTCTTGGCTGCCGCTCCTGAGAGTGAGTTCGGTGCTATGTTATCCGGCATCTGGGAGGGATCACAAGCTTGTTTGACTCTGGCTCAAGTCGGGACTCAAGACATTTTTCTGCTTGAGCTGAAGGCTCTGGGAAAGTGGCAGTGTCTGTGTATGTCCTGACGGAGGCAGTGCCGGGCTGCTCCCCACCCGTACAGTAGGGAATGGGGGTCCTGCTCCAGCCAGGGCTCTGCCCTTGCCTTTTTCACTGCTCAGTCTTAGAGCTCTCTCGGACAGAGCCCTGAACTTTAGACCTTGCAAAGTCCAAGACAATACAGATTCACATGCTGAGAGGGAAGCAGGGTGCTCGTTTAACTCTAGGGCACAGGCCTAGGGATCCGGGATGCACCACTCAGGCCAGAAAGACCATGGTCAGCTCTAGAGTGCGGGCCTGGAGGAGACTAGGAAGGCCAAGAAGGATCACAACAAGCCTTGGCAGTATCTCTGTAGGCCAGGAGACTGCAGTGGCCCTCCCTTGGGATCTCTCCTATGCAGGCAGATGCATCTAAACCAGACCTGACCTGGGGCCAGAAGTGCTCAACCAGCCTGTGCCCTCAGCAGGTGAGGCCCTGGGGCAGCAGGCAGGCAGTAGTGCAGACAGACCTGAGGACCCTGGTCCCCCAAGGCAGAGGGTAGGCAGAGGGAAGGGAGTGGAGGGCACTCCTGAGCATGGTTGACTAAGTGTTCTTCGGACCCTCCCAGAGAAGAGGCAGGCATAACCACAGAAACTCAAAGTCCTTTTATGACCCACAGGGTCAGAATGCCGTGAGCTTGGGGACCGGGGCTGTGACCGGGAGCCCAGGAGAACAGGCCCCTCTCTTGGAGGCTGCCATGCTCACTGATCTGTGTTCCTTTTCCAGGCAGTAGTGAGAGCTCAGAGTTTAGTGAAGAGATGTCTGCAGGGCTGGAAAGGTGAGTGTGGCCTCAGCAAGGCCTCCCTCCCTCGGGAAACTCAGGGCCCAGGGAGCTGGAGTCAGGGTCCCTGCCCCACCCACAACTTACATATGCACAATTGCACTGTCACACTGGTGTGTGCACACACTAAACACAAATCTCACACACACATGCACACAGGTAGACACATTCATAATTCACTTCTGTACCCGTGCATATAGCCTCCCTCCTTTTTGTCAGCTGGCACTCAGCACTTGGTCCAAGCCAGCTACAGGAGACCTGGGAGCCTGGAGGCCTGCAGTGTGAGTTCTGGACCTGGAAGCCTAAGGGCTTACTGCTTGAAGTCTTGAGATGGGCACACGGCTCCATCTGGTGGTGCCTGCGAGTATTGCACCAGTGCAGCCCCAGGCCTTGGCCATTTTTAAAAACTGCTGTCATGTGTCATTGTGAGTCCTGTCAGCCCATCTGCCCCAGGTATCCACCCTCCCATCAGGAATTCACCCACAGCATGTACTCCATGCCCTAATGCTTCCCGGGCCCCCGCCAGGGATCCAAGAAGACATGGCACTACTGCAGGTGGTGAAAGGCATCTTGGTGACTTGAGGTCTGAGGACACGTAGGAAAATCCAGTGATGACGAACATCCCTGAGATGCAGGTTTCCATTGCCCTGCAGGAGAGGCCCTTCACCCATGCATGCCTAGGAGCTGTGTGCATCTGTGTACTCTCACAAGTTCACATGTACACAAAGTTACATAGCCTTATTGTACACGTACACAGAGTTGTGCAGTCTATTTCTAGGCATGGCCATGGTTACAGTCTTCCACGTACTTGCACAGTTACAGACTCTCACAAATAGCAAACATATGCCAGACTCACACACATTCACACATTTTTGTGTATATGCATACGTATACTCACACATGTATACATACTCAGTTACTTATGAACAATTGCACTGTCACACTTCTGTTTTGTACACACTAAACTCAAATCTCTCTCTCTCTCTCATACACACACAGGTGGACATACTTGTAATTCACTCATATACACATGCATATGTGGGTGTATGCATTCACATGCACACAGTGTACATTATAACACACACACACACACACACACACACACACACACACACACGCCTGTGTATGTACACACGCCTCTGAAGCTGAAGCTTCAGCCCCTGTAATTGAAAAGTATCCCGAAGGAATCATCCTATCTGGACGCTTTCCACAGGGCAGAGAGGCTCGCTGGCCCAGGCTGAGCATTCCCTGTGTGTCAGGTTCTGTCTGAACACTGCCCATCTGTAGATTTCCTGCAGCCTTGCTGCTCCTCCATAGCAGTGAAAGGAGAGCCCCATAGGCCCCAAGGCCCAGACTCCAGAACTCCTGGTCCCAGTGGGGATTCCTGAGGACACCCTGTAAAAGAAGGCCATAGGCAACCAGCACCTCCTCCGACCACCATCCAGTGGCGTACTTAGGCATGGCGCTAAGATCCATAGTAGCACACCTGGCCCCGTGTGTCCCTCCTTTGTTTGTCTTTTCACTCATTCATTCTTTCTTTCACTCATCAGTCACGCAGTAACTGCTTAGTTAGCACTGCTGCCTGCATGCTAGCCACCAAGTTAGTGCTGTGGCTGGAGTAGTGCCAGCAGGAAAGAGGGTGGCAAGAGGACATTCCATGACCACTGCAGGCAGCAGTATTTTGTGTGATCTAGGTCACTGTGCACATGAATGTCTGTAGCAGATGCTCTCAGGTGGACTCTCCGAGCATTGGCCTTCTTCTGGCTCTTCTGTGCATATGCCCAGCCTAGCTTCCAGCAACCCTGGAACAGCTCTCCACAGAGGGGACCACGGCTCAATGCTTCTTGGCTGAGGAGAGCAGGAGGCCACTTGGTCTAGAAGATGCCAGCGGGGCTATTATGTCCCCTCTCATCGGGATCCAGCCCTAGGCAGACCTAAGGAACCAGAAGCTAGCTGATCCCAGCCTCAGCCAGTGGCCCAGCTATTAGTTTGCTCTCACCCATATCAGCTCCGGTACCGGTTTCTAAGAGTCTGCTCCCCAAAGGTGTGCCAGTGGTCTGTGCTTTCCTGTAGACTGGGCACAGCAGAAGAGCACCATTCTGTCTCTTCACAGTTCAGCCACCAGCTTATCATTTCGGGAATCTCCCTTCATCCTAACCTTCAGGGGAAGCCAAATGCTCAGCCTCACCGGATCCTCTGTGCACTGCAGACTACATGTTTCTGCTCTTAATAGGAGAATGGGCTCTAAGTATTCCTGTGGCTGGTCCCAAAGGCCAGCATCTGCCAGAAAGAGCCTCCCTTCCAGGTCCTCACAGATAACTGTAAGATGTTTTGCCCACTAGAGCAAAGGTAGAGGGTGCAGAAGGGGGCTGGGCCCACTGGAAGAAATAAAGGTGTGAGGAGGGGGACATGGCTAGTATGGGGGCAGCAGTGCTCTGCCCACAGTGCTTAGTGCAGGAGCCACAATCAAGCTGACTAGCCCCTTCCCCCTCCCCAAGCATTGGTTGTGAATCTGCCCAGCCCAGAAAGAGAACGGGGGGGGGGGGCGCGGCGGCAGACAACAACATAAAGGGCAGTGTGAGTGTGTGCACACGGCTCTGGTGGCCTGAGAGCTCAACTGGGTAACCTTTAATTCCCCAGTGAGCAGTAGGGTCATTTGGCCCCCTCTTGTGGGGCCCAGAGATAGTCCTTCAAATGAGCCAGAGCCCAGGCCACATGTGCCCAGTGTGTCCCTGAGGTGGGCATTTTTAGGAGTACCCAGAGAGCCATGAGCTGCTGCAGAGGCACCAACCCGCTCGTGCTAGACACTAGAAGGAGAATTCAGGAGAATTCAGGAGCCAAGGGGACTTGCTTCTGTGTCGTTCCCCTTTCCATCCCACATATATGGCAGCTGTTGGCAAGGCCAAAGGTCTCATGGCTAAAGATGGCAGCCATGCCAGGGAGGCGTTCGTTGATCATTCCTTAGCCTTTGGGTCAGGTCTCCTCCCCATCCCCAAGGCCCAGGGTAAAAATGAAGTAATCTTACCACAGTGGAGCGGAGTGAGGGTGTACCTACTCTCCTGTGATTTTATCAGCAGCTCTGACCTGCAGGGGCAAAGGCTGAAGGAAAGCCTCACTGTACATGTCACTTCCATGAGGAGGAGAGGGAGCCCTGCAAGCCCATATCAACAGTGCTAAATGCAGTGGAGAGTAGGGTTGGAGGCTGGCGATAGGCCAGGTTTCAGACACCCTCGGGATCTGGCAGCTTTTATTCTTGCTTTGGAAGGCAAGTTTAGGCCCTAAGATGAAACCAGAAATTCAGCATAAGGTCAAAGTTTTTTTTTTTTTCATTTGTTTGGGGTTTTTGTTTGTTTGTTTAAGATTTTATTTATTCATTTATTTTGTATACAGTGTTCTGTGTGCATGTATGCCTACTCACCAGAAGAGGGCAGCAGATGCCATTTTAGATGGTTTGAGCCACTGAGTGTTTGCTAGGAATTGAACTCAGGTACATCTGGAAGAGCATCCAGTGCTCCGAACCTCTCGAGCCATCTCTCCAGCCCCCAAAGTCTTTTTTATAAAGGAGGTTTTTAAAGAGAAATGAAATGGATTATAGAGGTGAATAGAGACAGAAAAATGAAAGCACACAGTGTCCTTTGCCTTGGTTATCTCTGCATTGCAGGATTTTTGAGGGTTGCCACCCTTGTATTCTCCAAACTTCACAATGTATCACTCTATCTTATAACCAGAACTATTTAACATTCCTAAAGAAGATGTCATCAGAAGTGACCACTGTTTCTAAATAAGCGAAGTATGCAAGTATGTCAGAGTTCATCACAAATCCTCCCTGACATTCTTCCCGTTTGGACATTGCCATGTGGAGGGACCGGGTTCTCATATTAGGGATGGGCAGTAATGGGAGGGGGTCCTCAAGGGCTTGAGCCCCTCAAGTGGGAGCGGGTGGAAAAGAGGAAGGGGCAGTGCAGCTCTCTCTCTCTCTCACTCTCTCTCTCTCCCTCTCCTTCTCCCTCTCTCCCCTCCACCCCTCTCTCAACAGTAGAGGGTTGTCTTCCGTCCCTGCAAGGGGTGGGGACACAGGAGATTCATCAGGGTTCTTGGAGCCTTGAGGAAGCCACACGCTATGCACAGTGGAGTAACCTGCATCAGATGCAGGTTCAGGATGAGGGATTTTGCTGAAGAGGACCCCATGAGCCATTGTGAGGGTCTTGGGAGGTGAGGATGAATAGTGAGTGAGCCCTAAGTCATGACCTGGGGTGGGAAAGGTGGCGCATGAGTGCTCAGGGTTCCTGGGGAATCTTGATACCAGGAAATGTAATGTCAGGGCCACTTAGACTCTTGGTCGCCTTGGCATCCCCAGTTCAGACAATCTCAGTCCCCCTGCTGTTCAACACTTAGCACATGTGTAGAGCTGTGGCAGGAGGAAGTGGTATAGACACTTAAAAGTGCCTTAGTGAGTGCTTCTGCCCAGTAAGAAAGCTACAGAGGCAAGGGCTAGAATGGGGAGACACCACAGGTGGCCGTTCATGAAGTCTGTAGGGACTTAAATGAAGGTGGTTTCCTCCAACTGCTGCTGACTTCTTGGTGGCACTGATCTGGGGAGGGTCCTCGGAAGGTGGTTGGCCTGTGGGTGATCTTAAGAAGTGCCAAGGGAAGTGGTTGGTGCAGGCTGTGCCCTGGGTGATGTTCCCTATTGGTCTTGGCTAGAGGGATCACAGCCAGCAAGTGGAGTCATGGTGGTAACAGAGTTGCCAACCCCAGAACTGTTAATAGACAATCATGTCCTTAGAGTCATAGGATTCCAGGAGATGTCCCAGGTGTGCCAAGATCTCCCAAGCCCTGAGTTTTGCTGTATTGGTAGAGAATTAGGCTCTGGAGCAAGGGTTTGCCTTAGCCGCAGCCCGTCTGTGTGAGTGACAGAACTCAGAGGCCCAGGATCCCCAGGCTCTCGTTCCTTACTAGGGCTCCCTGGATTGTAGCTTCCCTGGGTTAGCCCCTGTGCCTGGATTAGGCTTCTCTGCTCAGCCTTGTAGGATGTCAGCCCAGTTGGCCGATTTTCCAAGCTGATTATATGGTTATCTGAAGATACCATACCTTGTTTCACTCCCTTAGAGATGAGCGAGGCTCCTGGCAGACTCCTCTGAAAAAGGATGTGCAAAGACGCCTGAACCTAGAGCTTGACCCTGTCTTTGGCTGTGGCAGTCAAGGATGGGTCCTGTCAATCAGCAGCTGCTTCATGGGGAGCCCACAGCTTCTCATCTGTGACTCCTTTAGAGTCAGTGTCTTGAAATGGCAAAGCTTATTCTTCCATTTGTCAGCCCTTCCTGCTGCATCTCTATGGTGTTTGCTGTTCCCACTGCAGACCAGATTTCTAAATCTCTCAGGACACAGAGGGTATTGGTTGCCTTACAATGCCTAGGCTCAAGTGAGCCAGACTTCTAGCCTGACCTAAGTCCCAGTGGCCAGGAGAGAAATCTGGTTTTGGTTTACATGCAGCTGCCTCACTGAAGGAAACATGCAGTGGTTTACCAGGAACCCATTTTGTGACTCCAGGACATTACCCAAAGGATGGCATGTACAACGAGGTCCTTCACAAGGGCTTGCAAGAAGGGCTGTCCTAGGAGTCAGGCTGGCATTTCCTGCCCACAGGTTAGAGTGACTGTCCAGGAAGTGACCCTATGGGACTGGAAGCTCCTTTAGAGCTGGCCAGAGCAGTAATAATGTTGGTGCTCAGCACCACGTGGGCCTGTCCACAAATCACTCCCAGTGGGATCCTGTGGATTTGAGACAGAAGAATAGTTTGTGTGTGTGGGTGACTTGCTAGAACCTAGATTCCTAGAGCCTAGATATGGTTGTCATCTAAGATATCACATGTTCCTTCACCCCCCTAGATGGGCAGCTGCCTTATAAATTTCAACTTTGAGATACCCACAACCCGGTGGAAACCTAGGAACCAATGCCTTGCTCAGCCCGCATGCTCATCGTGCTGGTACAGGTCACTTCCACCTGGCGTCCTTTTCTAGTGTTGTGGCCTTGGGCAAGTGACTCCCCATCTGCAAGTCTCAGAGTTCTTATCTACGAGGCAGGCTAGGAACAGTGCCTACCTAGTAGCGCCGTATGGTTATGTTAAGTGAGACAGTGAATGAATACTGCTGAGCATAGTGCCTGGCACCCGCCATCCCATCTCTACTACCGCCATCCTCTCCACCATCTCCTCACTAGCCACAGCAGCAGCCCATCATCTCACCTAATTGCCATCATTATTGTCATTGTCATTGTCTTTTGAACCCTGTGGGATAAGCTATGCTATCTGGTTGCTTGCCTACATCTTCCCTAGCGCAAACTTCCCATGAGCCTCTCTCTGGTCTGGTATACCTCAGATCCATCCTCAGGAGGTGAATCAGCTCTGAGAATGTGTTGTTCAGCTACATGTTCCCAGAATGATCCCAGGAAAGATGCCCATGGCTCTGGAGTTGGGGCTCCAGGAGAGAGCCTATGATTCCTGGGGCTCATTAGATGTTATTGCCTATTTGTTCTGCATTTTGTGGCAGTGGGAAAGGGACAGGCTGTCTGGCTCCTGTGGTGGATGATCCTGGCTGCTCCAAGGCTCCTCCCCCCAGCTCACAGGGAGAGAAGGGCAGATACTGCCCTGGTCCTCTTCTAAGGGGTGGGAGAAGGCCACCACCATGCTGCCCTTCCACACTTGGGGTTGTCACATGGTTCCAGGGACAGGCCGTGGTGTCCACCTTGTGGGACAGTGAGGCCCTTGCCACCCCATGGTGGAAGCAGGCCTTCTCTGTGAACGTTTGTGTCTCCATCTCAGCCGCAGGCCAGCATCTCCTCAAGCCTTAGTGCTCCCATCTTTAGATATGCGAGAAGTGCCCCTCTATACGGTTGGGTGGATGTGCTCTTGGAAGCAGGTAGGTGGTGCATTGTAAGCAGCTGACAAGACAGGGACTCTGAAGTGCTGGGCGGCCCCCACGCAGAGCACACGCAGGGGAACTGAGAAGTACCTACCTGGCCTGAGAAGACTGCCAGGCCTGAGACTTCCTTGGCCGTTTGGCTTCATGGACACAGACACAACCATGGGAGCTGTGACCCTCAAAGCGGCAACACTTACGAGAGTAGAATGCTGGCAAGACACCACACAGATTTAGTGTGGTCCCAGTGCCCAGGGTAGGCCCCATTACATCAGAGCCCCCACCCCCTGCCTCTCAGTTATAAAAGGCCACATCTCCCGGCACAGTGAGAGGAACCAGTCTCTCCTTTGGGGAAGGATAATATACTGGTGCTTGGACAAACTCAGTGAGAGCGAGCACAGTGGCCTGATACAGAGGAGCACCGACCACCTGAGCACCCTGCCAGTACACAATCCCTCACACTGGACTCCTCTGAAAAGGGCCTACCAGTCCGGACTGCTCGGAAGAAATGGCTTTCAGGCTGTTGTTTGACAGATGTCCATTCTGCCAGCATCTGTCAAGGATGCAGCCCCAGAAGGGGCTCCTGCTCCCCACCCTGCTTCTGAATGACTGACAACTTCGGACAGTCTTCCCTTCTGACCATCCTAGAGCAACATGGACACCACCTTCAAGGGGATGGCAGACAGAAGGCTGCAACTCCAAGTGAGAGTCCTAACTAGCGGACGAAGGGACGTATCCTAAGCAACAGAGAGAGCTACAGAGGACAGCACTTCAGAAACCTTTGTGATCAGAGCTGGCTCCTAAGAAATCCCTGTCATTGGCCAGGGAGGACAGGCAGCCTAAGAGAGCAGATGTTCAGCAAACGGCTGGAACCTGCTCTGCTGCTGCCCTTGGCGGTTTGGGGTTGAACGTGTGTCAGGAATGGGCAGTGGTGACAATATCTACACCTGTCAGATGCATGGGTCCCAGGGAAGAGGTGTATTAGCATGTAGCCAGCCTTAGAGAAGCGAGCAGTGCAGCCACTGGGCTGGGGAGCCTGTGGCCATCCTAGGACCAGCTACCTGGAGGACAGGAAGGGCTGATGCACAGGAGGATCCTGGAGACGCCAACACAGATGACCAGCCCTGAACTTGGGCCCCAGTGCAGTAGATGCCATCCGAAGTTTCTTCTTAGCTGAAGGACAGACGCCCAGGTTGTCCCCACACCACACACACTAACATCATTGGCAATAAGCAGCAGCCTAAGGATAACTATGGACACCAGAGCACATTTGGGCAAGAAGTCTAGACTTCGACTTTATACAGGTAGCTATGTCATTGGCAGGCCATCAGACAGAGAAGGAAGGTGGAGTCAGATTATGCCTCAAGGTCAGGAAAGGATAGAGCAAGGTGGTGACTGCCCTTCCCCCAAAGAGTTGGAGCTGGAAGTGACATTCGCCCCTGGAAATGTTCCCCATCCGAGAACAGATGAGGGTAAAGCTAGGCCAAGCCCATGGGGAGGCCCAGGAACCAGACCGTGGACGCCATCAAGTTCCAGAGGCAATTTTCAGGGACACTGGAGCCAGCAAAGAGCCAGTTCAGAGATTAAGTGCAGCAACAGGATCCGGAAGCACCCTGGTGAATAGGAACACTGCAGGTACCTGGCTAGATGTGCAAGATTGCTGATCATTCTATATGTCTGTGTATGCTTTCAACATGGACCCTGTGGACAACAAGGTGTTTCTGTTAAACAGCTCAGACTCAACACTGGAGAATCTGGAAGAAGGGTGAACAGTCAAAATGCTTATGGAATGGTCCCATGAGACCCAGGAGTTTTCCCAGATGGAGACTCTGTGGGACAAGGTTTTCCTGGCCAGGTGGTTCCAGATGTGGTGCTTGCAGTGGGAGCAAGGAACCCAAGGAGGAAGAGGGGAGGGGCCGGGCTGACCTACACTATCTGTGCTCCTGCCTCCTTCATGATCAGCTGGTCTGTGACTAAAATTCACCTCTTTTCCTCCGAAGCAGGGGACGTCTCTACGCTACACTGGGGCCCAACTGGCGGGTTCCAGTTCGGAATTCTCCCAGAACTCGGAGCTGTGTCTACAGGTATATATTTGTTCATTTTCTCGCTTGACGTATAGCTTTGGGGTGTTTGCTGGGGGAAAAGCTCTGTGCCAAATGTATCATCACACGTTCTGGTGCTCCAATTGCTCCAGAGAGGTATGGGGGCCTCTGGGAGAGAGGAGGGGACCATCAGAGAAAACAATGGTGGAATTAGCTAAATGACTTGAGAGGGGCTTCCCAGGGCAGGGCCTCCCAGCCAGAGAGACTGTGGGGCAGTAGGAATAGGTGGCTCAGTGAGGACAAGAACCACTGTGTTGTAAGAAATCTGAGGAGAGGGGTTTCAGATGAGGCTGGGGAGGTGGGCAGAGCAGCACCCAGTAGCAGTAGGGCCCAGGGAGAGGTTTGGTGGAGAGTTAAGAACTGTATGAATAGAGAGGGCATGGGAGGAGGCAGGAATGGAAGTAGGGACCAGAGACAGTCATGTAGTAACTTTGGCAGAGAGGAGGGATGGACAACCAGACATGGTTAGGACCTGGGACTGATGAGACTAGGTTGTAGAACATAGCTCGGTGACCAGCTTGGTTGAGCCAGGTTACCTGTGGACATCCAATAAGCAGCAGCACAAAAAAGTCTGTAGCATAGGACAGGACGTGGACATTGTCACCTACGACAGTGCCTGATCTGAAGGGAGATGGGTGAGAGAAGAGCCCGGGACAAAGGCAGACAGGATGGCAGGTGCGGGGCTCCTGTCCCGCATTTCCATCGCACCCATTTACTTTTGTGCCCTCCTGCGAGCTCGAGGGAGGGGTTGCCAGAGCTGGGCTGCAAGAGCCCAGGCTTCTCAGGCATAAACCACAGGCATGAGCATGGGGGAGCAGCCAGAAAGAAACAGAGGGCAGGAGACAGCTAGAAGCTGGGGTGTGGAAACTTGGTAAGAGTTCTCTGTAGGAGTTCACCCCGCTCTTGAGTGGCGTTGACCCAGCCCAGAGAGTTCTCTGACTATGGGGACATCGTAGACTGAACCAGTGAGGCACCTGAGAGTCATAGTGGGTGGGAGGGTACCAGGTATCAGCTGCTCTGGGGCCGTATCTAACTGACAGTCTTCCCTCAGCCCCACGAGCCCATGCACCTGTACTGTGGGCAGCTCAGCCACTGTGCCCACTATGGAGGGGCCTCTAAGACGGAAAACCCTGCTCAAGGAAGGCCGGAAGCCTGCAGTAAGTCATACATACATCCACTGGAGGCAGTTTGGACTCAGGGAGTAAAGGCCTGGTCTAGAGATGTGCCAACCAGTCTCCTAGCCCTGGCTGTACCACTGAGGAGAAAAAGACCCCAGTTTCTCTGTGATTTAGGATGAAACTACCATCTCCTCCTGGAGGTCATCTGTGGCAAAGTGCCTGCCCCACCGGGTACATGGGCAAGCCAGAGCCATGGTGGTCTAGAGGGCAGGAGAAGCCTGGACACTTAGAAGGAAGAGGGTTTCACAGCCCCAGGCAGCAGCATGGCTCACAGTACCTCGGCTGCTGTGTGGCATTCCCATGTAGACTCCCTCACTCCCTGAGCAGCATGCTAGCACCAGCGGGGAAAAGCATGGGGACAAGGTGTCTATCAGGAGTTCCTTCAGGCCTGCCACTAGCCTTCATGTCTGACTCATATGTCACAGCCACATGACTCCACATGACAGAGCAGCAGCTCCTTGTGTGGCAACCTCCTCCTCAAGCTGCCTCTCCTCACTGCATCTGCTCGAGATGCCACCAGCCATGAAGATGCCAGGGCCCTGTCACCTGACTGCTGCAGGTGATCTGGAGTCCCTGGCTCGGGTTGTCAGTTGGATAGTTAGATGATGGATAAAGTAGAGAGCTTCCACCCCGGCTACACTCTATAAACTTCTTACAGCATGGGTCAGTCCCGAGGTATGGACTTACTCCCTCTCCATACCACACCCACACGTAACAGAGGGGGTCATAGGACAAACCACAAGAGTTGGGTTTACACTTCTACCATCTGTGTCCTGGGGATAACACTTAGATTATTAGATTAGGGTCAAGCACCTTTGCCCACTAAGCCATCCTGTCAGCCAGGGACTAGCATTTTCAAGTGAAATGGAAGAGAATGGATTCCTGCATTCCTCACAAACAGCAGGATAAATGTGCTATGAGCTTTTTCCACTTTAGCATGTGTGTCTGTTGCTGTGCGTCCTGCGGTTAGCATTAAGGGCCGAAAGACAGCTTTTCCTTGGTTGTGACACAGCTGTTCCCACTAGGAAGAGGCCTGAAAGGCACAGTCCTGTCCTCCCAGAATGGGATGTTTGCATTGACATCGCAAACCCAAAAGCTTTACTGAAGGTCCCAGCTTGGCCCAGCCAGCAGAAAGGCCTCAGAATCAAACTCTCAGTCTTCCCAGAGCAGCCCATTGCAGGCATTCAGTCTCCAGGCAGCAGTTTGGCATGTCTTTTTTCCTGGTACACCGCTTGGGCCCAGCTCTACTAATACATAGAATTTATGCACTGAGGCTCCTTCCTCAAGGTGTAGAAGGGAAGGAGTAAGAGAGGGGACAAGAGATCTCATGGACCTGGATAGAGATGGCACTGCCAAGGGATGGCAGATGGTCAGAGAAAGTGCGGGGGGGGGGGGGAGGGCTGGGTTGGCATAAGCGGGGATAGTGGCGTCCATGATCAGGCCACTCCCCTTCCCAATGTCATCGCTTTGCCTCCCCACCTGTGCAGCTATCCTCGTGGACCAGGTACTGGGTCGTACTCTCAGGATCCACCCTCCTATACTATGGAGCCAAGTCCTTGCGGGGCACAGACAGAAAACATGTAAGTCCCCTAAAAAGACTGCCATGCTGGACTTCCTCTGATGGGAGTGACCCTATGACTGCAAGGGCTAGGGTGGGCAAGGCCCATGTTAGCCTCCCTTGCTGAGGGGCAGGGTGAGGGCCCAGGCCTCCCAGCTGTCTGTTGCTGTCTTTTCTAGTATAAATCTACACCTGGCAAGAAGGTCTCCATCATAGGCTGGATGGTGCAGCTGCCGGATGACCCTGAGCACCCAGATATCTTCCAGCTGAATAACCCTGACAAAGGTGGGCAGCCGGCTGGGCTGGCTCCTCTCTTCCCTCTAACCAGATGTGCACCCTGATGCTCTGGGTTTGCTAGGTTGCATGGCATCCAGTATAGTCCCTGGTGCTATTTAGATTCCATTGAGCAGTGAGAACAGCATAGCCTTTGACTTAATGGTTCTATCGTACCTTGATCTGTGACCCAAGGGTCTGGGTAAATAGCGACCGATGTTAGAGGAAGAAGAACCTTGGGGCCAGAAGAGTCTTGGGTCCTGGATTGCAGGGACCTCCGACATAGTTCTAAGATGAGATTGCACAGTGTCCAGGCCCAAGGGCAGCTCAGAAGCACCAGTGTAACGTCCAAAAGCTTCAGCTTGATCTTCCCCACTTCCCTCTTGACCCTGTTGGGTCTACCCTCCCTTGGCCCTGCTGAGAGGAGGGAAAGGGTCTGGTGCCATCCTGCCCAGGGACCTTGTCCTCACTGACATGCCCAGCAGCCTACGGCCAGCTTCTTGGGTAGCCCAAATTACCAAACAAAAACCCAACAGCAACAGCATATGAGCTTATTGGAATCACAAACTCTCTGTATGTGCTCATACCTAAGTGTTAGGAATGTTTGAGTACAGAGTACAAACACAGGCCCGTGTCATCCAGGGATCTGTTTAGATTTGGGGTCTGTAGATCTGGCTAGACACCGAGACTTGCAGGTGTGGGAGGGGCCGGTAGATTGCTCGGTCCTCTGCTCTAAATTGGGGTGACTGAGTGCATTTCTGCTGCACACACACAGGTGTCCTTGCTCTGGTACCGCTGGAGTCTCTTCCAGCCAGGGCCAGTGTTTGTTTGTTTTTGTTGTTGTTGTTGTTGTTGTTGTTTTGCTTTTTGTTTTTTTGTTTTTGTTTTGTTTTCATTAGGAAGAAAGAAGGCTGTGTCTACACACGCTTCACTGTGAGCCCTTGTGGCCATGGGGATCACAGGCCACTCCTGTTTGAGCCTAGGCCAGTGGTTGTCAACCTTACTGATGCTGTGGCCCTTTAGTAGAGTACCATAATTATTTTGTTGCTACTTCATAACTAATTTTGCTACTGTTATGAATCGTAACATAAATATCTGATATGGAGCCCACAAAGGGGTTGTGACCCATAGGCTGTGAACTACTGACCTAGAGGAAAGCAGTATCTCCGAGCAAAGGGAAATGTGACACGAAGTCTGGGGGGGGGGCAATGCCCACTGATAGAATTAAAGACATCTATCAGCTAGACATGAAAAACGACATCTTGGTCTTCAGTAACAAATAATGGTGTCTTCCTTCCACTATGAATATGAGCTTCAGGTGACAAGAATTTCAGAAATACTGTGGGTTTTGTCCCTGGGAGAAATTATTAGGCATTTTCATGGCATACATAGGTTGCAGACTTCTCAAAACCTCATTGGTGTTCATTTTGAAATCCCAGCATGCTATTAGACCTGCTGCCAGCTCTGGATGTGGGTACAGGGACACACAGACTCACTTACCGAGTCTCGGTGTTGGTGGTTTTCTTTGTATTTTTATTTCACACATTTGAAAACATTGGTTCAAGAAGTGCTCAGAACCTGTTAAGGGGCCTAGCCCAAAGATAGCTAGCTGTCCTGCCAGTGCTGGCTCACCCTGGGCTGTGGCAGGCTTACATACCTATGCAGGCTCATGCTCCCACAACACACAAGGACCAGCCTGCGTGTCCTTCTTAACCAGGGATGCTTTCCCCATCAGGCAATGTTTACAAGTTCCAGACGGGCTCCCGGTTTCACGCGATACTGTGGCACAAGCACTTGGATGATGCGTGTAAAAGCAACAGGCCTCAGGTAACGTCCCTCAGATCCTGTTCATGACCAGGAACCCTTAGACTACAGGGCTCCTTTTTCCCTCTGAGCCCATCAGTGCTGCCCCCAGACACCCACTCAGAGATTTCTCCCATGAGTCCAGGAACATTTTGCACAGCTTCGAATGAAGCCTGGCTCTAAGCCAGAACTTTGACTCTTTTCCACTAAAGAAAAAGACATACCCACAGACATACCCAGCAGGAGACAGTAAGGTGGCAAGTGGGACACCATCCAGTGATCTAGCTCTAGCATCTAGGTAGATTGTTCCCCAGAGCTGATTTCATTGGAACACCCCAACATGACTAATAGGCCTCTCTGCCCACTGCCCTGGGGAGTGTAATACTAACAGCTAGAGTATTGAGGGCCAGTCATGTGCCAGGCAAGGCTGCTGGATGTGGATCCTGGTCTAGCCTCTTCCTCTGCTGCCACCCCTCTCCTTGTCAGCCATTACACATGCAGCCATTGGCAGAGTCTTCCCATGTCCCCATAACATAGGTTTTCTGACTGTCTCCATTGGACACTGAGGAAGGAGCCTGAGGCTCAGAAGTGAGGGACACTTGTGCAAGGTCCATAGTTAGTGAGTGACAGAGCTAAGACCCTACTCAGGGCCACCTGATTCCCATCTCTGACCCTGAAGCTCCTCACTGAGCTCTCCAGCTTCCACTTTTTCTGAGAGTCCCTGTCACTGTACAAGAGAGCCAGGAGTGCAGCCTTTGCTGGGCAGGCCTGTGGTGGAAATGGCAGCTTCCACTCACAGCACAAGGTGGGGGCTTCCTGCACCCTGCATGCCATGTAGACAGCATTGATCCTACAAGGAGGCCCAAGACAAACTACACTGGAGTATTTTGATTCAATGTGGGACTGTGGGATGTACTCACCCCAGGCCTCAAGACTTCCTCATGTTAAAACATGCTCATTGTAGCACTGTCCATGATAGAAAAGCATCAGGGACCTCCAGCCTGCCAGAGATCCGTGAGCAACACGGAATAGCCATCAGCCAGACAATAGCAGGTCTAAGGACAAAAGGTATTGGCAGGCACAGGCAAGGATGATCTCATTTGTTTTTTAAAATCTATGTGAATATTACTGTATGGATATGAGCATATTCATGCAAAATGTCTACAGTTATATACAAGAAGGTATAATTCTATTGTTCTAGAGTGCTTACATATATACACTTGTCTGTGAGATAAGTGTTGGGGGTTGAATCCAGGGCCTCAAGCGTGCTAGGTAATTGCTCTGCCACAGAGCTGCACTAGCAGCCCAGTTTATTTATGTTCTACATATTAAGTCAGTGTCATGATGATGGGAGTCAGTCTCTATGATGGGAGGACCTATGACTTGGGCTCACTGCCACCTCAAGGCAACCAAGGGGAACAAGAGGCTGCAGCTTGAGCAAGGTTGCTGCTGCAGCAAGCTTTGTCAAGAGGAAACACTGGATCTTCCATTCCAGTCTCATCAGCCTTGGGCTCCCTTATTAGCCCTGACTAGCACAGCACACTGAAGCTCACCAGCCACACAGGAGGCCTCAGCACCTGTGTGCAAGAGGACATGTGGCTCCAGGCACACCTCACAACCTCCAGGTCAGTACCTGGCTGGGGAGAGAAAGAGCCTCAGCTAGGAGCAGCAAGAGGAGCCTGAGTGAGGATGCACTCAGGAGAGGAACAGCAGCAAGAAAGTACAGCAGACTGGCATGTGGTCCAAAGGACTCAGCAGTAGGGTTTCATGCACCGGCAAAGTTCTGCCATGTTTTTGTGTCCAATTTTCAGACCTAGGAAAAGAAGGGTTTTCTTTTTATACCTGGTTTCCTTTTTATTTCCAGTTTACTTTTCACCAAATAGTCATACTCTGTTATGTATAAAATGTGGAGACAACTTCAATACTCAATGGTAGAGGCTTACTTAAGTCAGTCAATGTGAGCCAAGTGGTGGCACGTGCCTTTCATCCCAGAACTCGGGAGGCAGAAGCAGAAGGATCTCTGTGATTGAGGCCAGCCTGGTCTATTTAGTGAATTCCAAAACAACCAGAGCTGTTAACACAGAGAAACCCTGCCTTGAAAAACCAAAACAACAACAGCAAAAAAAGAAACAAAAACAAAAACAAAACTCTTTGGAGCAGGAATACATCCAGAACATGCTACATTAAAAGAGGAGTTCTCAGGGCTGTCAACCTTACAGTAGAGGTTGATTGGTAGTATATTTCTCCTACACAAAAAGAAAAAACAAAACAAAACAAAAACAAAAACCAGTCACCATGCACCCGAGACAACTCAGGGAGGGCACGAGAAAAAGCGTGTTGTAGAGGTATGGCCTTCCACACAGACTCTGTGATGAAGACTGTGTTTCTATTTGCACATCTTAATTTTTTTTTTCTGACACTGAATCTATTTAAGCTTATGTATAATGTATGTGTAAGATACAAACAACAGCAGTAGAGCTAGGTGTGATAACACTCAGGAGGCTGAAGCAGGAAGAGCATAGGGCCAACCTGAGCTACAAACAGCCAAACAAGACAATAGCAAAAAATAGCAGTAGAAAAACACCTAGAATCCACACAGGTCCCAAAACCTTCCTCTCCTGTTGAAGTCAGTCTCTCCTTCCCCGTAATGTTTTTTCCTTTCCTAGCATGTGTTACATCCCTGCTGCATTTCATTCCCGGGGAGGAAATCCAGGACTCGCTTGCTAGGCAAGTGCTACACCAACTGAGCTACACCCCAGCCCTCCTTTACAGGGTTAAGAACTCTTGGTAATAGAGCCATGCCTGCATGCTCCTTCCTGCTACTTGCTCCTCTGCACCAGTCTTGAGGTTGAGCAAGGCTGGCACATCTGGCCGCAGGTCACTGCTATACCACTTTCCTGTCAGTTCTGCCGATCTCTCAGAACCAATTCCCCATTTCTTGCTCCCTTGAGTTTTAAGCCTGTGAACTTTCTTGGAACTGTCTCTTGGTACAGAGATGCATCTTTTTCTGGTTTCTCATTTTGTCAAAACTGACACCAAGATGGGTTTGGGTTTTTATTAATGAAATCATGTCTAATCAAACCTAGAACACTCCAGCAGTGCCAAGATCTGGGAGTCTGGAGGCAGTTAAGGGGGCAGGGAAATATTCTAACAGTGAAACTGGTAGCCTCTGGGAGAAGGTATTGGGGTTCATGACATCCCCCATACTTTCTCCTCCCCCCCTTGCCACTCCCTACCACTCCTTAACGGCATCCCCCCACTCGTAGGCTGGTTTCCCCAACATTCACCCCCACTTCATCAGAGTCCATCCTCTGTACCCCAAGCCCTGTTAGTTGTCTTTGACTCAGAGGATAGTGGTAGAGAATGTGGGTTCAGGTTTCAACCCTGGTTCTTACCGTATGTTTAGCCTGTCTAAGCCTCAGTTTCCTCATCTTCATAATGGGGACACTTTGAGCATCTGCCTAATAAGGTTCATGTGGGGACTCAACACACAGTGCATATGTCAGAATAATGCCTGGCACATGGCTGTCATTCCTCAGTGGCAGCTACCATTGCCATGCTCTTCCTTCCCCACACTTTCATGGCCCTAGCCTCAGGAACTGCCCCTGTCCCTTTCTGGGGGTTGAAACGTTGACAAGCAGGTGAGCTTTCTTTTTTTAGGTACCTGCAAACCTTATGTCATTTGAGTAAGTATCTGCAGGACTTGACACGACCTCAGAGGCTTCTGGGAGCCTGGACTAGGTCTGGTGGAGGAGAGCAGCTCTGGGCATAAGCTGTTGGCCAAGGCACTGGAGCCCCAAAGCTTGAGGAATGTGGCCTGCAGCCTCACAGTCTTGGATGGCTCCCCAGTGTGAGATCCACCTGTCAACCCACAGCAACTCTCATGACTCATCCTGCAGCACCACCCCACAGGGCGGTTGTCAGATCCCAAACTGCGCACCCTATGTCCCCTCTCTGGGCTATCGTCTGTCCACCAGCTGCTTCTGCATCAAGGGAGCATCAGACCCGTGTTGGGTTCTCCGTGCTTTCTGCTACACACAGAGTGGGTGGGATTAACCTTTGAGAGGGCTGGAGAGCAGAGACAGGTTGCTGGACAAGCTTGTTACACCCCAAGTGCACGGGCCGCTCACCTGCAGGGCCGCCTCAGATTTTGTATACCCCCAAAAGCATCCTCTGCGTGTGCGTGCCGTACATGCGTGCGTGTGAGCGAGTGAGTGTAAGCTCTCTGAGAAACATACATTTTGGCACAAGACTTGTGACATTATACACTTGTTGGCTTTGAGGCCCTGCTTGAAGCTTTAGTTACAGCCTTGCCCTCTACGTCTGAAGGGAGTCCAGAAGCTCCATGTCAAGGGTCCCTTGAGTTCTTTTACTGTAAACAAACAATGCCTTAAAACGTGTCTTGTTTTCTGTTCCTATGGGTGCTATTCATCTGGATGGCCTGTTCCCTGGGCCCCAGGCCCTCCTGGGTCCTGTTGTTGTCAGCCCTCTCGAGGCAGAGACAGTCTCAGGACCGTGGACTGGGCACTGGACTGTGTGCTCCCTACCATGAGCTCTCCTTGTGGCCTATGGCCTTCCTCATATCCCCCACTACCACCATGCTGGCATGGGAAGTTGTGGCCTTTTCTCCCAGCAGCTTGGAGGCCCCCACAGTGATCAGTGGTCAGTCGTATAGAAGCTACACCACCCATATTCTCCCACAGGGCAGACTTTTGCTCCTGTCTTCCCACCCCCTTGCCACCACTGCCAGGGCCGGCCACACTGATTGCTGATCACACACACAGGGATCTGAGTGACATGGAGGTCTTAAGCCCCCTCAGTCTTGCCCCTAAATGTAGTCACCAGCACGTTCTTCAAGTCCAAGGGCCTAGTTGTTGATAGCCAGATGATAAGAGAGCCAAGCCCCAGGGAATGAGATCTCCAGCCTCTAAATTCATGAACAAGGACTTTTATCCATCACCTTTCATTATACTTAAGGTGACTTTCATTTTGCACATTTTTAATTCAAGCTCTTCATCCTCACAGATGCCCTCTTCCTCCTAGAATCTGGGTACTCTAACTAACCCTGGGAAGCAAACCCTCAAACAATTTTCTGGAAAAGGCTGACTTTCTGGGTCCCTGTGGGCATCTGGGTCATACACAATACATGATTGTCAAACCATCCAAAGAACTTATGACAATAATCAAGAAGCTTCAGACAACATCATAACCGTGAACTCGCCACCAGAAAACCCACCACTGTATTAAAACCAAATGGGGATACTTCTCTAAAAATGTTAATGACTTGGTAGGGCAAGTAGTTGTTACCATGGTGGTACCTTTTGGTCAAGCCTCGGTGTATTCTGAAGCTAACCTTCATGTGAGCAGAGCCTGGACATTTTCATGCCAAGAGAAACTCCAGGTGATAAAGTTGATGCCATCAAAACTTGACCACAGCTGCCTTGCACATCTCCCCACACCGGGGGTCCAGGTATGTTCACTAGAAGAATGACAATGCCAAACACTGCAGACACCTCCATCTAGAACCATGCCATGGTCACACTCCAACTCTGATCCTGCCTGTCAGCCTCTAAAAAGTCAGAAGCTTGAGTAAAACTGCAAGACCAGAACATCAGCTACTAGTTTCCTTTAGGCTTCTCCACTCTTCAACTTGTTTTGGGTTCTTACACATGAAATATCAAACACCAAAGCCCCAGAATTTCAATCTCCACTCAGAAAACGTTCTGCCATTTACAGATCTGTCTAACCCAACACAAGTGTTTTCTTTTGGGCCTGATCTGAAAAAGCACAATCACAATTATTTTCAAAGTGTCTAATCTCCCTAATTGAAACCAGACTCCCCTCCCAGAAGCATCCTCACCATGGACTCTTGAAGAAACTGCTTGAACTTTTTTTTAGGGGAAAAAAAAATCCTTGAAGGACTCTTGAGAGCCTTGAAGGTGTCAGAAGAGCTCTGGAGATAGAGTTAAAAGATTTGACTCTCAAGCAGGGCCTTAGGCCAAGCATAGAGTTCAGTGCTGGTATCCCCTGGGCTGGCTTGTTCCATAGGCTGCAGGGGAGGTGGCTAGGTCAAGTGACAGAGGCAGAAGTCCTTGGGGCACTCAGCCTGGAAGGAAGCAGGTCTGCACTTTTGCTGGACTGTCCATAGTAGACAGTACTGTGAAATTGTTACAGGTGTTAAGGTATGCACTGTCATGCAAACAGACTGTGGTGCCCCCAAAGTGAAAGCTGTAGAATGCTGTCTAGAAACTGGGATGGACAGCTGGTAGTGTTATAAAGTCCTAAGAAGAGCCCACTCCCTCAGGATGGAAGTAACTTCTGTCCCTCTTCAGTGTATTGAGTTTCATAACTCCAGGGTCAGCCACGTGTGTGCTGGCAAGCAAAATACCTTGTGGAGACTGTATTTGGCGGAAAGCAGCAGAAACACTGTCATAAACATGCCAGTGGGAGAGTGTGGTCCCTTCCCTCCCCTCCCCTTCCCTGACCAGATGCCATGGGGCACTTGCCAGATTGAGATGCCGAGCAGGTGGACACAATAGAATTGTTGGTGAAGGACCTACCTTGCCTTGCCAACAGGATCTCTCTATTTCTCTTTCTTACCAAGATGGCCAGTGTTTCTTCCATCATTTTACTTTACTTCCACCTTCCAAGCCTAAGAGAGATAGAAAATGATCTGTAAAACTGGGAAGCTGTTTATAAGCCAAGGCTGATTTATTCTTCAAGTGGGTTCCAGAGCTCTGCACCAACATTGCAGATTCTTGGAACCACTATTGAATATTGCCAAAACCACAGCCTCCATTTTGTATGACCCATTTTGTATGGCCCTATGTCATATTGATATTTTGGGTGATTTCATGTTACTAAAAAAAAATGCACAAAGTCCCTTTGAAATTGTGTTTATTGCATAAACATTCATTGCTAGTGAGTACTTCCTATACACCAGGCTCTACCCAGAATGAAAACGGCTAGAAACAAGACAGTCCAATTTTGGCCCTTTGTAGAACTTACCAGTCAATGAACAAATAATCCTCACCTCACATACCAACTTTGGCAAGACCCTGCTCTCCCCTACCCCTGAATACAAATCCTGTGCATTGGTTCTTCCATAAAGACTTCAGAAGGCCCAAACAAACTGCATGGGATTTCTGTGAGAATCAGTTGCATTGAGGACTAGCTGGAGGACTACCACTACCCCACACTGGAGGCTGGCTGGCTCTGAGTAGCCAGATACAGAGCTGTGTTCAAGAATAGTTACAAGGGACCATGCTAAAGGCAGAATGAGAGAGTGGGGTCTGAATGCTCACAATATTCACAGGCTTTCCCTTTTAGCCTTTAACTTCAGTGTTAAGTTCAAATACAGTATGAGTGAGAGCTGCATGTCCCTTGGAGCCGAGAACTTGGACTTGGACTTTGGTCCACCTTGTAACCCGCTGCTGCACAAGTGTGTGTCCCATGGACAGCCCCAAGTTCCCATGTACAGCAGCAGGTGATAAATCATCTGCCTATTTTGGAAGGACTGTGACCATTCAGTAATTAAATAATAGTAATTCATTTATTAGTGAGGTATATAATCTTTAATAAATTTTGTGCCAAAATGCATGGTTTCCCACTTTGCATTCAAAATGTTGCATAGACAGTAGCTTTCAATTTCTTTATATTCTTCCAAGTAAACCGAAAATGAGTTTCTACATCTTTGTTTCTTGTTAAATAATGCTGCACCCTCCCAAGCTATCTTTTTTCCCAGCAGACCCTGCATGCAGTTGTGTAACGACTTTCTCTACTATTTGTAAATTGTCTCATCTGCAATAACCACTGAACACCATCCCTCCTTGGGACTCTTTAGATTTTTGGTGAAGTATTTTGTTACCTCAGTCTTGTATCAAGTTGCTGTATTTTTCAGCTTGTTACACTGATAATTGTTTCAGTAATTAAATACTTTAATGTACAGGCATCTTTGTTTACTTTGAAATTAAATGCGTTTTTCAATGAATATTATTCCATTTATTAGAGTCACATGCAGTCACTCTGGCAGGCAGTTGCTGTGCCACATGCAGACGTGGAGCTCAGCTGAGAGTAATTAGCATGCAAATATATAGGAGGGAGAGGGGACAGGGACAATGATGTTGGTCTCTCAGAGAGGAGGTCAAAGGGTCTGGGGACACTTTGAGAGTTTCTGATCAGAGGTTGCAGAACATGGAGGCTCTGAGTAGGGGCAGGAGGTCAGGGAGGGAAAAGACAGGATGCACATGGTGAAAAGTGGGCAACAGGAGCTTACTGAGGGAGGAGTATGAGCGGGAAAGAGAGACGGACCATGGACTAGAGAACTAGACTAGGGATCCCAGTGGCAGCTCTCCAGGCACCCACACCCTGTTCAGTCTCTGCTTGTGCAGCATTAAGAGAGACCAGAACCTCAAAATCACACTGAAAGATGCACAACTTAAAACAAATCTAGACTATCCCTGGAAGAGGAACTCTCAGTCTCAGTCAAGTGAGTGATTTCCTCTAGCAGATTAGCTTTTTTTTTTTTTTTTTTTAATGTGAGAGGGTCCAGCACACTATGGTGGTGGTGTCCCTGGACAGGTGGGCCGGGGCTGGATAAGAAAAGATGAGCAAGCCAAAGGAGGCAAACCAGAAAGTTTCCATCCTCCATAGTTCCTGATTTAGTTCTTGCCTTGAGTTACTGCTCTGGCTTCCCCGATGATGGGAACCAGATAGCTGTGAGCCAAATCAACCCTTTCTTCCCTGAGTTGCTTTTGGTCATTGTATTTATCACAGCAACAGAAACTAAACTAGAAACAGATGACATAAACCATCCTTAGCTTTACTCCAGGAGTCCCTTTCCCCAACCACAGTGCAATGTTCAAGAACCCTTAGGATGATGTTCTGACTCGGGAAGAAATGGGGTCGGGGCCTGGGTGGAGGGGAGGTGTTACAAAGTCGGAAGGTGATGAATGAAAACCTGAACCCACGGCTGATAGCTAGAAAAGCTCCAGCCTACTCAGCACAGCTGTGTCAGACACCACAAACAGCCACCAGGAGACAGCAGTGCCTCCTTTTGCTGGCAGGCTGGATCCTGAGGTAGTGCAAACCTCATGGTGGACTGCCAGTTCAGCCAGGAAGACCGACCGATATCATCCTGGCACTAGCTGAAGTGAGGAAGAGGTGATGTAGACGGTGACAGATAGGCGGGGCTTGTACTGTGGGCGGGGCAGTTAGAGAGCTCTTGGGGCAGAATTATCAAGGGTCTAGAGACAAGAATTGCAGCAAATACAGACCCCAGCTTCAAGGGAGAAAAGGCGGAGCTCCAGGGTTGGGGGCCATGCCTGTGGGCGGGACGTGGAGGAGGGCGGCTCCCAAAAGAGGGCGGTGCTACGATAGAAAGGACCAGGAGGCGCTGAGGTGAGGGTCGGGCTGAGAAGCCAACGAGCAGAGCTGTGGTGTGGAGGGCCGTCAGGGCGCTCTGTGGCGGAGGGGTAGGTGAGCAGAGCCTGGGTCTGTGGGGCAGGAGCGGTGGGTCGTGAAACCTGACGAAGTTGAGGACTAGGTGGGCTTTGGGGGCTTGGGTGAGCTACACAGAAGCCCGGAGGGCAGGCTGGAGGATCTCCGGGAGGCTGGCACGGGAGGGGTGTGGTTGGAGCTCAGGGCGGAGGAAGGGTGGGGTCTGCAATGGGCTGAGGAGGACCAGGGACACGGACGACGGAAGTTAGGGGCGGAGCCTGTGCAGACTAGGGCGTGGGCTGGGTTGGGCTAGGGAATGAGGCGTGGTCTTTGTAAAGATGAAGGGCAAAGGGACTGACTAGATTGGGCTTTGGGGTGGGGCTAGAGCCCAATAATAGGCAAGGGTGCCTCCTGGATTGGTACTTGGCGGGGGAATGGGCGGAGCCTGAACGCGGCTGGGCAGGGTCCTTCTGACTGGGGCGGGGCAAAGGCGGGACGGGGGCGGGACCTGAGCCCAACTCAGGAGATGGGGCGGGGCGGGGCCGAAGCTAAACCCAGCAGAGTGAGAGATCTGCTAGATTAGGGGCAAGGCAGGAGCGGGACCAAGGACTCAAGTAGGATCTAAGGGACTGGGTTCCGTTGGGGGTCAGGGCGGGGCCTGAGGCTAGCTCCGGTAAATGGGGCGGGCTTGGGTAGGCTAGGGGCAGAATTTACAACAGGAGGAGCGGAGGAGGCGGACCTGCTAGGAAAGGGGCGGGCCTACAGCCAGAGGCGTGGGGGGGAGGAGAAATCTGCTTGGAGTAGGGGCGGGGCTTAAAGTCAGAGGCGTGGTGACGGCGCCTACTGGAGTAGGAGCGAGTCTGGGGCGGGGCCTAAGGCCTGAGGCGCGGAGGAGGCGGACCTGCTGGAGTGGGGGCGGGCCCCAGGCCCCGCGGAGAGTGTGAGGGCGTGGTTAGGCTGGCGTTCGGGGCGGGGCCAGAGGTCCCGGGCAGGACTGGAGTTTGGGGCAGGACAGGGGCGGGGCTTGGGTCCGGTAAGGGGTGCGGGGCGGGGCGTGGGCTGCGGCGCGCTAGCTGAGCGTCCGGCCGAACACCGCCGAGGCCCGAGCCCACCCGAGTGTGCCCGAGCCGTCGGCCCCCGCCCGGGGCGATGGAGCCGGAACCCGGCGGGGCCGCCGCTGCGCTCCTGCGGCAGAAGAGGGCGGCGCTGCGGCGCAGGGGGTGCAGCTTTGAGAGTCCCAGGTACCGGTGCCGGGGAGGGGTGCAGCCCCGAGAGGCGGGAGCGGGGAGCAGGCCACGTGGGGGGAGGCGGTGTGAGGGGACAGAGCGTGGCGAGGCCGCGGCGTGGGAGGGAGTCGGCGCTGAACCTGGTAGAGCGGCCGGGCCACGCTGAGGGAGTGCCCAGCGGGAGGGCTGGGGACCTGTGTCCGGCCAGCAGATGCTGTGGAAGTCCGAATCCTCGGCCCTGTGACAGGCCCTGCACACCACCGCTCAGGGAGGTCTGTCTCGGGCTGTGGAGAACGCGTCCGGCCCTCTTCTAAATGCTCAAGGACAAGGTCGGAATCCCCAAACCCTCAAATAGACACTCTTCAGGCGCTTCTTGCTCTCTGTAAGCCATACTCAAACCTCAGGTGCCTGGACACCTGCTGCCTCTGGCCCCGCCCATCTCTGGCTGGGGTTGTTGGGGTGTTGGGGGTACCCTGCAGAGTTCCTAGATCCCTTCTCTTTCCCCAGGTTGCCTGTGCCCCTACTGGCCTTACCTTCCTTAACTGGCGCCCTCCTAAGGAGCCAGCTCGGCCCTAGGTGAAGCTTGGCTACTGCCGGACACGCCCTTCCCGCTGCGGCTGATGCCAGTGCCTATGCCCCGCTTACTCCTACATCCAAGGCATTCCTGTAACTTGAAGTGGGTCTCCTTCTTCCAGGTGGAATCATTCCTTTCAGGATGACTCCAGCACCACCATCTCGGCCAGATTTTCATCATCATTCTGTAATAATGGCCTTAGGAAGGGTATCCCGAAGCCAAACCCCTTCCCTCTATAGCCTACTGCTGCTTGCACCCCTGAGAGGTTTTTCATTGTTGTAGCATGGGTAGGGACAAGGAGAAGAAAAAGATGTGGGACTCTAACCTCCAGTGAAGTGGATAAGAGTGTTCATTTGCTAAGACACAAAGCAAACCAACCAAGATCCTTAATGGAAGGTGTGATGCCCTTAATTGGCCTTTCTCAGACTCTGTCCTTAACACACCCTGTTCTAGCAGTTATGATGAGAGACCACAGCTGTCCTAGCACCTGCTCCATCATCAGAGCTGGCTCAGGCCTGACCCATCCCAGAGTCTGTGGGCTGGTCCCTCCTCCTTCAGGCTGTAGGACTGAGCATCAGTTCTTTCTGAAAGTCTCTTGAACTCTATCTAGGCTTAGCTCTGTGTAGTCAGTATCTGGGCATCCAAGAAGGTTCTAAATATTGTGTGGTAACCTGGGTGGTACATTTCCCTTAGATAGGAGACCTAGACAGCTAGAAATCTCTATGGCTAGAGTATGGAGAATAGGAAGAGATACCAAGAGATGAGAGCAAAGAGAGTCTCTGTGGCCTGAGGCCGGGTGTTTAGGGCAGTACTGCTGCAGAGAACACCAGAGATGATAAAGTGGTTTAGTGACACACCCCATCCAGTGTGGGAGCCACAGACACCTGTGGCTGTGAAGCAGGTCTGAGATTCTGAGTGTTGAGTTGTGCTCAACTTGCAATACGAACTGCTCAACTTGCAATGCGAACAACTCCAACGCTGCCACCTCAGCCATTTTGTTGTTGTTAATTGGACTTTCTCAGTCCTTGCCACACTCTGCTTCAGCAGTACTGATGAGAGTGTGTCAAAGACAGAGGAGAAATGTTTGCCATCCTGGACAGTGCCAGCCTAAAAATTACATCTCCCCTTTGTCTTCATGACCAGATTCTTCAAGGATTAAATGACTTCCAAGCCTCCAGGGTGTTTTTGTTCTCTGATACACTGTGACCCGTAAGAGAGTAAGGATTGGCTGGTTTTTTTTTTTTTTTGTTCTAAAAGTAATTCATTAGATGAAATTTGAAAATGCAAGAAAAATATAAACAGGATAATTTTGTTGTTGGTTTTTGGTGTTTTGTTTTTCTTTGCTTGCTTGCTTGTTTTTGAGACAGGTCTCATTATACAGCCCTGGTTGGCCTGAAATTCAATATGTAAGCCAGGCTGGCCTTGAATTCACGGAGCTCCGCCTGCCTCTGCCTTTCAAGTGCTGGGATTAATGGGGTACACCACCACACCCGGTGGATAATTTATTGATTCATAGTCCCAGTGTAGGTATAATATCTCTCTCTTCTACATGAATATTTACCATTTTAATTGACTTTTTCACTCAACACATCATAAATATAGTAAGAAATCCTTTAGGAATCCCCCCTCCCCAATTTTCGAGACAGGGTTTCTCTACATAGCCCTGGCTGTCCTGGAACTCACTGAGATCCGACTGCCTCTGCCTCCCCAGTGCTGTGACTAAAGTTGTGTGCCACCACTGCCTGGAACAAAGGAACCTCTTAAGGCTTTGGAAGCATGGTGCCAGAGAGTACCAATAGGGTTACCATTACATTTGCCAAAGTGATACCTTGTTTTATTTTGAATTTCTTTATTAATGAAGTTTTCTCATAAGCTGTTCATAATTTGTACTTATTTTAAGATATTTGTATTCATGATCTTCACTATCTTCACTTTTCTTTTGAAATATTTATTTTTTCCTTATAGAATTAAAGTTCTTTTTATTTATTAAGGGTATTTTTTTTGGTGAAATATGTAGGAGATATTTTTTCCAGTTTGCCTTTTCATTTTCCATATGGTGGTTTTCGTGTGTGTGTGTGTGTGTGTGTGTGTGTATGCAATTGTCTTGAACTTTAGATTCACTGACTTCTTCCTCTTGTTTATGTGCATGTAAAAGAATCCCTTAACTTAAAAGTAGATAAATATTCATCTTCAATTTCCCCATGTTTAATTAAATTTTAAAGTTAGAATACAAAGTAATTCTCCATTATCTTCATTGCTCTAAAAATGACTTCCTTAATTCAATATCCCAAATGACCTCACAGTTCTGGCTGTGTGTCAAACCTCTTGTATACATTCTAACTATAAAGGTGCATAGTTCCTTATGCCAAACCCATTGATCTAGAGAGCCTGCAGCTGTCTCAGAGCTCTGCAGCTGTTTTTGAAGCACAACCAATAGTGAAAGCCTTTGCCACATCTGTGGGCCTCAGTTACTTTTCATTGCCAACTGTATCAAGTTTAAATATCCTTGCTTCATGGTTAGGCTCTTTGAGAATAAGTTTAACTGTATTAAATCATCATGTTATCACAAGTGTGCGTGTGTGTGTGTGTGTGTGTGTGTGTGTGTGTGTGTAAGAAAGAGAATGAGTCTTCACACAAGCATGAACTTCTGCAACATCTGCTTCAGTTTGGCAGTTCTCTTTGCTAAATAGCCTGTGTCAGTTCTGATAACTGGTGTGCACACACAGAAGCTAATAAATGTGGAGGATCAAGGAATGGCCCATGCACTGGGCATCAGGCTGGCAGTAGTGAGAAAGACTAGCTTTGTATACCTGGAGGTGTCAGAGAAGAGACCTGTTCTGTTAAACAACTTGCCCTAAATGTATTCATCATGATTTTATAGGTGAACTTAGGAAAGTTGCTTAGCCTCTATGGATCTTGGTTAGTGAACTTGTAACATGGCCTATATTGATGTGAGCTTTAGTGACCTAATGTGTGAAGTGCTACTCACAGGAGTCTGGGAAGTGTCAGGACAGAATGAGTAACTGTCTTACAAAAGTTCTCAGCCATATCCACTCTGTGTAAAAGGCACTAGTAGGCAGGTACATGGTACTTTAAGATTCTGTCGCCCCCTCCCCCACTTCCTAGCAATCAAGAAAGACAAATAATGAGCCTGAGTTATTTTAAATTATCTGTCAATTGCTGGGCTGTCACTTGGGCTGCAACAGTTCACAGAGGCCAAGCTTATTGTGAACAGCATTAGCAAAGTTACCTATCAATGGGGTTGAATTTACCAGATGAATTTTTTCGTTTTAAAATATTTTCATTCTTTGAGAATTTGATATAATGTATTTTGATCATATTCTCCTCTCAACACTCCCCCCCACTTCCTAGCCCACCAGCACCCCCTCCCCAAACCCAGTCTTCAATGGTCATACAGGAAACTTTTCTCCAAAAACATTTGTAGCTGAGCATGTAGCTTCTGCATATTCTGTATAAGGCCAGGGAGTTTTTAATTCTAAAGTAAGCTTGTGTGTGAGTGTGTGTGTGTGTGTATACATACGTACTTGTATATGTACTGTTCTGTGTGCATATGCACATGTGAATGTGGAGACCAGAGACAGCCTCTTGTGTCATTCCTCAGGAGCCCTTCAATTTGTTCTTTTGAATCAGGTTCTCTTACCAGGAAATCAGGTTAGGCTTATCTGGCTGACCAGTGAGCCCCAGGGAACTTCTACCTGTCTCCATTTTCCCAGCACTTACAAACACATGCTGTCTCACCTGGCTTTTTCACATGGGTTCTGGGCATTGAACTATGGTCCTGATTCAGCAAGCATTTTACCAATTCAAGTCTTTTCTCTAGCCCTAATCCAAGCCACTTTATTAGTGAACAGTTTTGGTGTCTTTGCTAAGAGCGTTGTTGAAGCTTGCCTTATCCTTGCCATCCATCACTAATATTTCTTTCTGTGTAGCCACTTGCAGTGTCCATGGTTTGAATTCCAGGTGAAAGAGAATAGCTTGGAATATAGGTGGTTCTTCTGGCTATTCAGAACTGTAACCTCCTTTGAAATCTTTCACTCTGCCCAGGACTAGTAATATACCACCATTATTTCTGATAGGTTTGTATCCATGCCTTATGTGTACATTTTTTGCTTGAATGGCAAGCAAAAAAGAGGTCTTGCCTCATGGTATTGTATAATACTGGGTAGGATCGAGCTTTGGGAGTAGTTGATCCAGGATTTCAATAATGTCATCAGAGTCTTCATTTTCTGAGTTGACTTTTGTCCTACTTGGCTTTCTATTGTTGTGATAAATACCAGGATCAAAAGCAACATGGGAAAGAAATGGTTTATTTTATCTTACGTTATGGTTCATCATAGAGAGAATTTGGGGTAGGAACTCAAGCAGGAACCTGGGGCAGGAACTAAAGCAGAAACCATAGAGAAATGCTGCTTATTGGCTTGCTTCCAATGGTTTGCTCAAACTGCTTTTTTTTTTATACAACCCAGGACTGCCTGCCCAGTGGTTAGCACTACCCACAGCAGGCTGGACCCTAACACATCAACCATGAATCAAGGAAACATCCCACAGAGTTGCCTATAAGCAAATCTGATGGAAGAATTCTCTCAACTGAGTTTTCTTCTTTGTAGATAATTTGTATCAAGTTAACAAAAAAAAAAAAAAAAAAAAAACTAACCAGCTCAACTTGACTCTCAAGATAGGCAAAGGTAAATTAACTACTATAGTTTTACTTTCTATCCCAGAAATGTCTGGATT